TATTAAAAGGATTCATGTTTTAAATCTTTGATCTTTCTGGAGAGCAGAGATATTATTATTTTTTTAAGTCAGAAATGATATTGGTCTTCAGGCTACACTACAATACATTCAGTTCATTTAGGCTATTTTTCTTGGTTTAATTGAACACTTTACATTAGAGAGTCCTCTAATTCTAGTTCCGGAGAGTCTTGTACATCTTCAGTGGCTGAATAATGTTAATAATGAATAATGGTAGTTAGTCCTGACTACTTAAACTAGTATTTTATTCACATAAATACTTGAAAGTCAGGTGAGCTTATTTAAAAACGCTTGTAATGAACTGGGATGACATTGGGGTGAACTGTTCAATATTTCTCATAAGACATGACTACCCGCTACATTTTCACACACAGAGTCATGCAAGATTGTACACTCTGCTTGAGCAACATGTTTTAGCCATTAGGAAATGAACCAGTGGTTATAGAAGTTTCTTTAAGAGTATATGCACTGTTAATATTAAATATAGAAATTAAGCTAGGAGAACAACACACACATGCAGAGCATGGCAGTGGTGCAAGGAGTGTCAAGGTACACATCTTTCTTCAATTGCTCTTTTTTGTTGCCATGGCAATAAAAATGACAAGGACTGTCTTCGATCTCTGTGGTCACCATGAACACAGGCTGCCAGATGAAGGCACCGTTTTATCAAGATTAAAATGTAAATATTGGCATTTTGGAAAGATACTGTGAGTCAGCCTGAAAAGGGCGAATAGATGACCTTTATTTCCTTTGAGAAGCAACACTAGGCAGGATTAGCCCCCTGTGGTGATAAAGTAATGATATTCAGGCTTGCTTTAAAACTCAGAACTTGGTGCTTTTATTATACAAGAGAAAAAAGAGAATAGCTTGAGGGCATGCTTAATTCAACAGCCATGTGCCATCATTTCCAGTGTAACAGGTGCCTGGCAAAAACGTATGTTAGTCTGTTTTTACAATACAGGAATCAACTCATTTTCTAAAAAAAAAAATACTTCGCTCTTCAACTACACAACTAATTCATGCCATTCTTAACAGGAACACACGAGTAAAGGTGATGCTTTTACAAAGGCAGTAGATGACTTTGCTACTACTGCAAGTGAGCAAAGTCAGAAACATGTTAAAGCAGATTTATTTAGCCAAGACTTTAGGCCTTCTGTGAAATATACAGTTTACAGTATATGTTTTCAGAAAGAAAGCAGCAGTGGAGAATTAAGGACAGGGTTTCCATATTGTCTTACTTAGAACCTCAGTTTCTTTTAGTTTTCAGTCCATCTTAGCTCCTGATTATTTAAAGCTTTAAATCAATTGATAAATTGTTGACATAATTTTTAATAAAAAATACTGGGAATTGCAAATTACATAGAACAATTAATTCTGGAGCCTTTAAGTATTAAGAAATTAATATAAATATTATTAAGAAACTGGAAACAATTTTGGTATTTTCAAATCTATATTCATTCAGACAGTCATTTAATTAAGATAATGAGAAATCTTTTCAAGATTGTTGGATCAAGAGGAAGGGTCAGTGAAAGCCCTGATCTAAGGACACTGAAAGAACTTCATCTCAGGGGATGGGAGCATTTGTGTTATATGTAATTAATCACAAGGGTGAGAGTTTTCTGCTATTCCCAGTAAAAAAAAAAATCATAAAGGTTATTGTAAGGGACAGATCAAATCCTTTAACACCTAGTTCATTACGAAAATGCTGCACAGGGTCCATCACAGGCTTGCCATTATCATTTTCTTTGTTTCCATTGTCTGCTACATCCACAATCACCTTTTCACACCACCACAAACATCTGGCCTTCATGCAGCCTGTGTGTCTGTGTTAGTTTCTAAACCCAAGGACAGTCTGAGCAGTCAGTGAGCACTGCAGGCTATTTGTTTCTCACCCACAGAATGTGTACAAAGTCAGTTGGAAAAAAAAGTGTCAGTGAGGGATTGCTTTATATCTAGAACTGTGAAAGATTAGCTTCAACTTGTGTTTCTACCTATAAAAAAAAAAATAACATATTGAAAGAATTTATAGGAAGTCTGAAGTAAATGGAACAACAGTGTGGGAGGCAGAACTCCTGCATAATTTGAGATTCATAAGAATAACTGTTCTAGAAACAATACTGTATAATTTCTTATGGATGGATAAATAGGTATGTAATCTGCAAAAACAAGGTTATACCAAGAGTACTTAACACTTTCATTTAATTAAAATACCATCATAGAATAGCTGGACATTGTATATTTTTGTTGCTATTACACATATTACAACATAGCTTCTTGAAAGAAACAAATTGTAACAGAGAGTAACAGAGCTTGAGTTGTATTAGAATGTTTACAACGTAAACATTGTGGATTCTTTCAGTTTTTGAGCAATGCTTTCATACCAGCATTTCATACAGTAAATGTTAATTGTGTGGAAAAGCTGTGAGATACTGCAGTGTATTTGCATGCTTGGTTTTGTGTTTAATATTGTTTCTTGCTGTATCAATACAGGTTGCTTTATAATTAAATTATGAGGGTGTCACTGCAGGCTTACAGTGTTTGGATCTTAGGTTCATTTTGGGGCTGGACACCTTCTGTATGGAGTTTCCATTTTATTCTGTGGTCAGATGGGTTTTCTCTTGTCTCCAGTTTCCTACCACCTTCCAAAAACCTATCTTAATCGGTGTCTCTAAATTGCTGCTGTGTGTGTCTCTTGTGATGGACAGGTGTCTCACCCAGAGTGTCTTCCCAACTTGTACCTGTGCTTCTTGGATAGTGTTTGGAATAGCAGGAATAAGAAGTTTTCTGCTAATGGATGGATGAATAGGTATAACATCTAAACCTATATCACAGCTGACAGAGAATATACTGAGTAGTAGAGATACAGTAACTGAGAAGTGATTATTAACAGATAAGGAGTGTCATGGTGGTGCCTTGCTTCACTAGGGCCCCGGGTTCAACCCCTGGGGTGCTGTCTGTGTGATGTTTGTATGTTCTCCCCATGTTCGAGGGTTTCCTCTGGGTGCGCCAGTTTGCCCCCACAGTCCAGAGACATATTGGTAGATTCATTGACTAAAGTGGCTCTAGTGTAAGTTTGTGCATGTTTGTGTGTGCCCTACATTTGACTGGCATCCCGTGAAGGGTGTATCCAGCTTTGCACCCGTTGCCCATTGCCAGGATAGGTTCCGGGTCGTCTGTAATCCTGTATTAGATGAAATGGTTACATGGATTAACAGATAATAGAAACAAGATATAAGTAATTATAAACAATCTATTAATACATTATTGTTGATGGATTACACATTAATCCAATTATCACACAATGTTTGTTAGTAGTTATAGCATACACTGTTAATTGAAATACTTAGAGCTTTGTTAAATAAAGTACATAATACTATAATTAACTTTATTTTAAGATTAAGATTGTCTTGTTAATTATAATGTTTTATATCCGTTAATACCATAATTTTTAAGATATTTAAAGATTGTTACTGTTTGCTTAGAATGGAACACTACACTGCAGTATTTCCAGTATTAGCACAAAATACTATGTGTTGCTGTTAGTGATACATATTTTTTTACCTGTTGTCATAATTTAGATCCATAAACTGTTAATCCCTAAATTGTAAAGCAAAAAATTTGTACAGTGGGAGTAGCTAGAGACACTTGAGTTGGAGGCGTTCATTGGAGTTACAATGCATTGCCAGGCCTCTTAACAGACAGGACAGGCTTGTGGAAGAATTATTTCTGCTTTGTGTGACATTTGTATTTTGTTTCTACATTAGTGGTTTAATTTTGATTAACAGCCAAAAAAGTATAACAGTGAATTCTATTTTTGCATTAAGTATTTTAGAATATTGGTCAGCTATTTTGCATTGTGTTTAGTGTTATGCATGAAGTACTACACATTTTCTGCATCTGTGGTATTTTATATATTGTCATTATTTGTGCACAAGTTCACTGAAGCATTATTCAAGAATATCATGCACTACAAAATCCCCAGTCGACAGCAGTTCTTTCAGCAGGCCACCCCCAATGATTGTGGTCACCTTTACTGTACAATATGTTTGTGATAGCTTCACTAAAGTGTTTTTATTTCCACAATTAGCATTATTTACATGCTATATTTATGAAGCATAATTGGGAAAGGGCTTATTCAGAGGGCATTTGAGTTACAGTAGTTTGCCTGCCTGTGATGCAAAGGCATTACTGAAAACTCTTTTCACTGTTGTTTACTGTCAAATGTGTCTGATTTCATCTAACGGGAATAGCTGGAGGGAGCAGGGCTTCATAGTATCAGAATATACAGGATTGTAATCGGACCCGAACGGAAGCACAAATTCTATAACAACCTATCACAAACAACTTCCTCGGGGTGACAACAAGCCGAGGGAGTAGTATGGCAAAGCTGAGTGCTTTCGCAAGACTTACTGACCAGAACTAATGCCATTTCTATTTGCCATATTGATCTTGTCATCTCCTATAACAGCACTGCTCAGCAGATTACGTAAGAAGCTATCCACAAAATAGATTTTTCACCTCTAACTCTTTACCTGCGACATAGTTTTCTATAGATTTCAGAAGCTTATTTCAATGTTATGAAGCCTGTCACACTGACATTCTCACTGGTTTCATTTGTACCTGTGAAAAGCAGTTCTATCTTTCAAGCCAGGTTGGCTTTCTTGTTTACAATGAAATTGTTATTGGCTTATTATTGGAGCAAAAAGATTTAAAAAATAGCTGGGTTTTAATTGGGAGACCTACAATTTTCAGTAACAATTTGTGTTGTTACAATTAGAGTTAAATATTAGATACAGAATTAATATACTTTTAATACCAAAATTAGTCAATAAAAATACATAAATCCTACTTTAAAAAAATACATCCTTTCTTTGTTTTTGTTTATAAAAGCATCTGTCCATTGTTGTTCAGAAAAAAAAAACTCAATCTAGAGAAAATCATGTATGGTCTTAGCTAATGAATCTTTTTATTTTAATTTCCAGGCCACTGTGTCTTTTCTAGTCCGTGTCAGAGATGGCAACATTATCGTGATGTCTTTGGAGCCTACAGACCTAACTGAAAATGCAGTGACCTATGTGGTAAAGGTCACTGGAGAGACCAAGCCTTATTTCCTTGAGTTTAAGAATCTCAGCGACGCATTGCCTGCTCCTGTAGTCTTTAATGCCAGCTACCACGGCCTCTGCTATGTCATGACCCTCATGATGAAGAACACCAAGGTGGAATTAAAACCGGTCAAGTCTGTCACTGTCCTGACAAGTGAGTAAAGCTAGATGATTTGATTACTTGACACTGTGTCTATTTCTATTCAGCAGCAAAAAAATTAATTTGACAGGTCTGTTAATTTCCAGTCCGTTCTATCACCCATTTTCAGGCTTCATTCATAAAAGGGTATAATGCGATTAGACGTGTGCCAGCCAAAGATAAGGAATGCGTAATGAAACGCTGTATTCACAAATCAAACTACAAAAATAGGTATCTGAAAGACTTACTGGCACATGCATGAACAGTACACCATGTATAAATGTGCATATGCTGAATGTGTGAAAATCACAAAAATGTATTCAAATACTGTGGAAAGATAAAAAGTAATAACAGTAACAATACACAGAAAGTATGAAAAAAACCTTTTAGCTATAAGCATCACCCAACTTCCATGCATATTTGCATTGTTACACATCTGGTGTAATGAGCTGAAATCCTTATAAATAGCTGCCATGCAGAGCACGAGTAGGCACTCATTTTCAGTAGAGAACGTTGCAGTTATCATAGGAAAGGTCCAAAGCCGGAAGGACAAAAGTACCCAGAATCAGCACTACCTGGATTGTCAGAGGAAAATACAGGCTTCTGTATCTACAGTATATGTATCCTCACAAGAGACACAGGCAGAGCAGAAATACATTAATGGAACTACAGTATAAAGCAGAACCACTTGATTTACCAACAGGCTCACTTTGACAACTATGCCTGCTTTTAAGCTGTGCGGACCTGCAACATTGTGAAATTTCCTTTTTTAGTTCTCTGAATATTTTAATATTTGCACATGCTATCCTTCTTACATTCCTGCTATATTCTCGATTATCACTCTTTTTTATAGTCAGTGGCACGTAAGTACAGTACAGTGTTACTTCTTTTTAAAGTCTTCACAAAAGCACTGGAGACAAAAGTGAGAACAATGACAAAATATGAATTAGTAAAAAGTCTATGAAAATTAACCAGGCATTACAGGTCATGTATCTCTCATCCTAGCGTTAATCCCGCATCAGCAGGGTCTGCTTGTCGGCACGCCCGTCTCCATTTGGTGGTTTGAACCAAATCTTTGAGCTGACGTTACCTTTAATGTGTCCGAGAAATACTCCAACCGGCGCGTCGCTCCGCCTGCCGTCGGAGTGGGGGAGGAGGGGGAGGAGAACAAAGTAATGAAGCCAATTCATAGAGGACATATTAGGAGACATAGGAAATTTGTCCAGGACGCCAGGGTTACACCCCTACTCTTTTCGAGAAACACCCTGGGATTTTTAATGACCACAGAGAGTCAGGACCTCGTTTTTACATCTCATCTGAAAGACGGCGCTTGTTTACAGTATAGTGTCCCCGTCACTATACTGGGGCATTAGGACCCACATGGACCGCAGGGTGAGCGCCCCCTGCTGGCCTCACTAACACCTCTTCCAGCAGCAACCTTAGTTTTTCCCAGGAGGTCTATTACAGGTCATGTAAAAAAAAAGTGTCATATAAAATACTGTATTCATTGGTTATGAAAATGTTACGATTTTGTCAATAAATTGATAATACCACCTTGATTATTCATAAAATACCAACAAAACATTACATATTAATTAACAGTGTTGAAAAATTAATTTACATTTTATTTTTTCATGTATTCTTTGCCTTTTTAACCTGTGCACTTATGCTAGGTTTCCATTAGAGTAGCGTGTTTTATTTAAAGTTTTTCCTCATTCATTGTCACTGTCAGAGATGAGTCTAAAAATAATTTATTTATACTAAAAAGAATAATTTAAAATTTAAAATTAAAGAAAAATGTTTCCTTAATGCCGCTTATATACTGTTTTATTATTTTAATAGCTATCACATGTATTAGATTGGGTTGGGAGTTCATCATCAACCAACATTTTTAATGTTTAATCTATTTTTTCCTAGACCCTCTTCCAGTGAACAGTGTGTTTATTCATGACTATCAGCCCTCCCCTGAGACTAGCGTAGTCTTTGAGATCAAGTGTGCAGAGAAATACAATGTTTTTACAAGAGTAAACATAAGTTACTTGGAAGGAAGAGAGCAGCGCTCTATGCTGTACAAAGGTATGTCACACTGTTTGCATGTTTTTCTTTGTTTGAATCTACAGATAACAATAAGCAGTGAAAGAACCTGAAAGATACAACCAAGACGATATCATTTATTGGGCTTAATCAGATAATTGTATGCAATAGTAAGAATTCTGTTATTCAAACCATTTCCTTATAAGTATTTTACATTTTACAGTAGATGAATTATTTAATGCTGAGATATATGAATAACTTACTTTGTATATTAATAACTGAATGGTATATAAAAATTAATAAGGTATTTTATGGTTATTCCAGATTTTTTTAGGGGAAAAACCATTTTCAAGCACTGGCTGCCTGGAATGTGCTACAGCAACATCACTTTCCAGCTGATGTCTGAAGCCACTGTCAACAAGACCACCCTTGTTCAATACAGTGGTGTGGGTCACGAACCCAAACAGCACAGAACAGGTACTCTGGATTTCACCTGTTTGGGAGTTTTTACTATAGTTTTTTTTATTAATATTACAACTTAATATTTCCTTGTCATACTAGACTTTTTTTCACTGAACATATCGAAAAGTAGATATTAGAGGTTCTATTTAAACGTAGAACTATAGGCTTTATTCTAAGACATCTTTACCTTTCCTCCCTTTTCACCTTCCTATCAGACACAACTCTCCACACACACTCTCTGCTGATTCTCCTTAAGAGTTCCCAGCCAAAACTGTTAAGTTAGCATGGCTAGAACTTGAACATCTCCATATAAATATCCACAAACAATACCAGAAGCTTACAATAAAAGATCATTTATTAATTGTTATTCAGCATCATGATACCTTCTTACCCTATTTTTTCTAGATCCCGGTACCCTTATTGTGTTGCATGTGAGAAGCAGTGAAACATTTCTCTAAAACAAAACAAATGCATTAAAACATAAATACATTGAAAAATAAAGCATTGCTAATATTTACAGATCTTATGCTGTACATTACTAAGAATTTTAATTTTTCCAGAACATTTTGATGCTCTGTTGAATATGTGATTTTACACAGTGTTTTATGTGCATGAAATCCCATGGAGAGTGAGATGGAGACGACAGATATGTTTTGTATTATTGTTGGTAGATGTTCTGTTGTAACCACTTGGAGATTTGTAAATGAGCCTCTATATATAAAGTGTTTCCACGTGCCTGTCAGGGTATAAACATTAACAAACCATTTTTGTCAGGTAGGAAGACAGTTCCAGTGCCTGCAAATTGCTGTTAATGGGACTCGCACATTTCTCAAAATTGACCACTGCAAATGTGAGACTTTCCCCAAATGCAAATTGATTTTCCGAATGAGTTGCAATTACAGTAATGTATGATGCATCAGTACAGTTTTCCACTCCCAAAACAAGTTGTGCTACAATTTGTACTGTATGTCAGAATCTTGACAGTAATCCATTATACATACTAATGCAACATAAAGCATACCTGTAGGTGCAGTACACATTGATATTCAGTGTTCTTGCTCTTTAAATTTGATCAGTTCTTTTATGTGTGTGTATTACACAATTGTTTCCAAACCTTGAATGGAATTTTATCATGTCCTTGAGATTTGATTTTTTTCAATAACTGATAAAATAGTAAATATTTTATACTGTTTGAAGTTTACATATCTATCTCTCTCTTCATAATTAAGTCAGATATAGATATTAACATCCAGAAATCGTTGTTGACTTGTACACAAAATATATAAAAGAAAAGCCCCAGATTTATTTTCTTCTGATTTTTTATTTTCTTATTTTATTGAATTTCTAAACATAATACGACAAGAAAAACATAAAAAAATTCTACCTCTACAATTAAACACACCGAGAGTGTGTTGAATTGTGTTTAATCCCATTTTTTATCTCAGATAAGTAGTTCTTCTGCACACACGCCACCGATTTTAAATTAATCTGTGAATTTGTAGGTCCATAGTAAATCAAGTATACTGCGCAGTTCAGTTTGGGTTAGTTGTTTGTGTCTGATCCAAATAGATTCTGATACTTTTGACTGATCCATGTTATGCCCTTGTGCCTGAATGTACATTTTGATATATGCAGCTATATGTCCACCTCTTCTACAGTATCTTTCTTGTCACTCTGGAATGCTGTGTATCTTCAGAAGCTGTATTTGTTATCATGTTAGCCATGTTTCAGTAGCTCCCATTACCTCATATTCACCTGATAATGCAGTAGTTTCTATTTATTGTATTTTGTTGCCCATATTCCTGGTATTTAAATATACTGTCGGTGTTTAATTATCATGGGGCTTGGATATTTCTCCTTGGGATTCTCTTTTTGGCTCTATTCTCTTATCATCTTTCATGTACATTTTCTTTGGTTTCTACCCTCTTCCATCATCAAGTGTTTTAGAATTGCTCTGATTCTTGCCTTAAACCTTTCGGTGCCCTTCTTGTTCAATCATAATCCATTACATCTGTACAGATAACCTTATTATAGAGAGGATTCCAGTGGCCAAAAATGCTAGAGCTTTCTCCAGCACACCATTCTTCAACAATGTGTTATATTTATGGTTTAATAAGAGCTTGCAGATGGTAAAAAACTTTAAATCTCTCAAACTGCTGTGCAAGGGGAGCCTTATTACCGCTTCTGTAGTGAAGGTTTGCTGACAGAAGGCAAAGGAGGTGAGGGAGTTCGGGGAATGAGGATATTAGGAAGGCACCTTTGACGTTTATTTCATCATTAATTACTTGTCACTGACAGGCATTTGAGAAGTGTAGTACTTTTCAAAAACATTTGAGAAGTCTAGTGAAAAGTGTACACTGTGTCATGTTCAGGCTGATCGCAGTTAGCTACCGGCTTATATTTGCTCCTTGTGTCTCTCTTGCAGTACCAAATCCCCCCAACAATGTCACCCTGCAGATAGTGCAGTTTGGCAGGGGCAGCATGTCAGAAAGGGCTCACAGCAGATCTCACACCAGGAAAGTCAGGGAAGAGGTCAGACTGCTGGAGGAGGAAGAACAAGATGAAAACAAGGAGGAGCTTATGAGAGACGATGAGATTGAGACCAGCCAGCGGCCCCGTAACCTTACACAGAACCTGAATGATTCCTACAGTTGGGTGGACTATAGCTACAGTAATGGTACAGACTATGAAACCACCACTCAACCCTACTGGCCACATGTGGGTACAACAGCCTCCAGTGATGAGGATGAGTTTGTCAACCAGGTGGTACCGGAGTACGATGATCAGAATGAGCTGGGCTCTGCTGGGGACTTGCCCTTACCCTTTATACCCTCGGTCAGACTCCCCCCCCTGCTACTGGAGCTCCACTGGCTGCCCCCTCACCCTCCCACTGCTTTTGATGGCTTCAACATCTCCATCTACAGGGATGGTATGTTTGTGTCCACACTGTGATATGACAGTTTTCAGAGATCGTCCAATTTAACAAAATATATGAAAAAGACAAAAACCGATGAAACTGCACTTGACGTAGTGTGAGAGGATGCAATGTTACTGGGCATCCTGAAATCACATTTGTTGTTCTTTTGTGTGGTGACATCACCTACTGTACACTGTAAAAGAAAAAAAATAATTATGGTTAGATAAGTATTAAAGAGGTTAATGTTTTGGACACAAAATTGATGGTTGCCCTGACTTCTATAAATATGACATCATAGTTTGTTTCTATAAGTCCAATATTCGATATGTTATTATATTCACAAATTAGATATTTTGCTCCTGCAGGAAATTCTACAGAAATGGCTACTGTAGATGAAAACGTTCATGAGTTTTTTGCTGAGTTGACAGAACCTGGGACATATGTAGTCTCTGTCACGACATTCAGCTCATCTGGAGACTGTGAACCCCGGGAAAGCACAAGTCACAACAGCTTCACTTTTTATCTCAGTAAGTTATCTTTTACACATATGCTAGCCACTGCTATAAACAATAGTCTAGCTCCTTTTACAAGTTTTTAAAGGACATAAGTTCAGAATTCCTAATTACTTGGAGTTCATTTTTTTGGTAATTTGTTCACTTTTAGTTCCTTTTTATATTTAACTTAATTGAAAGCCAATAATTATTTCAAGTATAAAAATTAAATTAAAATATATATATACTGTACATACCAATATGAAAAATTTGTTGGACTGTGCAGTACTATAACAAATATCATTATCTTTGAATTGAAGTAAAGCAGTCAATATTTTGTTTTATGGCTAGATGCAATTAAAAAATTTGGGATTGATTTGCTAACAGAGTGATTAGATAATGACTGTGTAATATTACCTGGATACATTTCATTTTTTGTTTAACATATAATTTAAAATGTACACAGTAACTTGTTAAACCTCCAATTTACATCACAGAAAAGCCTAAATTTCCAGGTTTGTGCAGCGCCATATTCTGCGTTTCAGAATGAGACAACAAATCTGTGACGTGAAGCGGCCCTGTTACAAGCAAGCAGGCTTGTGAATACAGTACATCTCTTTCAATCCCATAGAAATATTGCTCTCGATTTTGAAACAGTTTTGCCAACAAATACTACTTACTTGTTAACCGCATGCAGATCACTTTGGAAACTTTCTGCCATGAAACGTCCGCTGCACAACCTGTACTTCTTCGCTCGTACATCCCATTACATTATTCATATTATTACAGTTCCAAGTGAGCAGGAAGGGCTGCTTCATGTGGCCATTCTCGCCTATTCTCGCTCTCACCTGTGGTGAGACCAGGAGTTGAGACATCATGGTGACTTGGTGACATGGTGGTGGAACTTTTACAAAGTTCGCCATTTTGTGCTTAATTCAGAACTTGTAAACTTTTTGACATGTCAATGAATTTATTTTTTTACCGAGATTCAATAACCGGAAAGAAACTTTGACTACAGTTCCCCTTAAACCAAAAAATAATTTAATACATTCAATAGCACACTGTGTGCAGCATATCAGTGTACTGTATCTTATCTTGTAGGTCCTAATGGTGAGTGGTTTGAAGAGTTGAAGGAGAAGCCTCAGGATATCAATGTTAGGATACTAAGTTCCAGCGCAGCTGAGGTATCCTGGGTTCCATCCGCAGAGAGCCACAACACCACCCTGGTGACAGTGATCTCACTCACTTGCCACAAGCCCAACCTGAACCAGAGGATGGAGAGCAGATACTGCAGTGAAGTAAGCACAGCTCCCAGTCAGGTATCTCTTCAGCGCTAGCAGTACAGCCAGCCACCTCATACTGTACATACAATACAGTACAGTAGTGTATTGTATTTTGAAAAAGATCTCAAAAGGAAACATTGTCAATCTGTTCAGTGTAATTAACAAATGGATTGCTGATACTATATTTCACATAAGTACCACAAATATTGGAATCTTAGCTACTTAGAAGTTGTAATTTTACAGTATTATAAACTTATGATGCAGAGGTATTAATTTTACATATCATTTTATACTAGAATAGGAAAGAATAGTAAAGAAACTGTAAAATATGCCACTATTGAATGGTCCTAACACCATGGGGCTTGTCTTTGCTAGAGTGATACATAGTTTTCTTCACCAGTAACAAGTTATGGCTTGCTTGGCTGACTATGGCTAACTGGTCACTGGAGAGCATAGAGAGCGTTGACTCCACCCTGCTCCAGGTACCACGGGACTCACTGTGGTGCCTTCACCCTTCAGCCCTCCATGTAAGGGGTCTACCTCATTTGTGCCTGATGTGGCAAAGCAGATCTCTTTGCTTTGGAGGAGTCCGAGATCTAGACGACCCACTAGGCAGCTCCAGTGGCTTCCCTGTCAGTCTTCAGGAGAGAGTCTTGTCAACGCTATTGACCTCAGGAGCCCTGGGTAACAAAGTTGCAGCAGACTTTGGATCCTGTAGATTCTAGCAGTGCCCGCTTGAGGAAGATTGTTACTGGATTTTGATTTCCATCTGTTAAGCCAGCATTTGTCCTGGATATTGCTTCTGCAAAATGTGTCCATGTTCTCCACGCACTTTCTTTATCTGCATTTTTCTGGTGACGACTAGAGTCACCACATCCAGAAGATTCCTCCCAAAGCTCAAAGCTGAGAGCGCAGTTCATTCTCCCATAGAAGGAGAATGTTTTGAAAACAATTATTACTGTATATGCTTTTTAATTTTACCAATGTATTAAGACAAACCATTTTGGAATAATATTCAGCAATTTGAGAAGTGTATCAAAACCAACAAGACAGTTACAGTATTTATTTAAAATAACTGCATTATTGGCAACATGGGTTTGAAACATTTTTTTTATTCAGACTCATATATGACTTCTCATTGTATTTTACATACATGTGCATGGAACTGTACAGATCTATTTAAAACTGCAATATGAGCTACAATATCTCACTTGTTAATCAACTATAAACTGAAATGTTTGTGATAAATGTTGTGTGCAAAAATCTTACGTTTTCAGTGCACAATCTCTATGAATGTATTTTGTCTATTTTCATTGCTTGTCTGATCTTCAGTTGAAGAAAATATGGTTGTTCTGAAAATAAAGCATGAAAGTGATTTTAGTTTTTTTACTTTAATTGATGTACTTTTTATTCAGCTTCACAATCTACTCCAAATTGATAAAGGTAAAAACTGCTGAAATTATGTAAATAAAATAGATCTTAATTAAAATGAGAAGATTCTCATTTGTGTAAGTATTCAATTCCATTGCTAAAGAAACCCTAAAATCAATAAAATGTGTTTTAACTTCAGAACACTGAATTTCATAATTCCATATCTCACATTGGGTTTGACCATAGTGACCAAAGAGCTTTTGACAACTCTCAAATGCAGTTTTGCTAGGGCTGACATGTAGCCGAATTGCCGAAGTAAATTCAACATGGAGTTGTGTATTTTGCCACAGTCCATTTTAGATCAGAGTACTGGGTCAGTTGTAGTCAATTATCAGTTGGGGAAAATATTGTGGATCTTTTGAGGTTCTCAGATTAAATTCACAATTCACCCTTTGAAATCAGATATGGGATACCTTATTTTTCCAGGAAAACTCCACCAGTAACATCATCACAAACCTGACTCCTGGCGCTCAGTATAAGGTGGTTGTCCGTCATGTGAATGGCCCACTGATGGGTCCAGCATCAGATCCAGTTGTATTTGAAATAGGTAAGTATACCTGATATCTTGTTACCCATCTGTTCCCACTTTGCTTCAGAGAAGTAAATACTCTGTCATCCCGTCATTTGAAAGAATCACAAGCCTGAAAAATATTAAAACGTTAATTTTATTTTTAATTATAGACAGAATTTTGTCTATGATCCACTGGATCTAAAATGAAGGCACGTCTTCCTTCCTGCTCTATTTGTTGTGCTTTATTTTCCTTTAAAATTAATATAATTGCTGTTGCAACATCTTGGTTTACATCTAAGAGATTCTGAACTTCTCATCCTGTTTGTCAGTCTGTCATTTTTTGGCCAAGCAGGTTGGTGCCGAATTGTATCTATAAATTAGTTTGATCAAAATCTGCCTAGAACATATGGAACACCATACTGGAGTTCCCAGAAGAAAAATGCTCTCACTCCTCTTTGTCACATTCTGTGTCCCAGCACCTTCCTACATATTAATCTTATAATAGAATGCTTTTGGGTGTAAGTGACTAATGCACTGGGTTTCACTGGTGTGACAGTGTTGCTGCATCCCCCTTTCCAGTGATGACTCTCAATTTACCATTAATCTTCAGGCATGGTGCACTACAAGTTTGGGGACAAACTGATATACCTTTATATTGCGTTTGGCATTCAGTTTGATGAATTGATCTTATGGAAAAACATACAGGCAGGTTGCATTTTGCGAGTGGAAAACCTGTGGCCACTTTCCGTCACGCATTCTGACTCGTCTGTATGACTGAATGTGCTTTGTATTTGTATCCAATACCCTCTTTAATTTTGGAGATAGCTTAAAAATATAAAGGTGTCAGATCACGTGAAAAAGTGAAAAACTACTGCTTTCAAAAAGTGCAATTAGAACATTGATTACTACAGTATATCAGTTACTCAACTCAGTCTAACACCTCTTCCAAACAATGACATCTCCTCCAGAACAGTGTCCCTGGTCAGTGTACTGAGGCACTGGTTTTAGAAATTCTGTTTCAGAAGGAAGGGTGCCGCCTAGTGGTCCACTAACACCACTTGAAGCAGCAAGCCGTTTTTTCTTTGAGGTCTCCCATCTCAGGACAGTAGTCTAGAGGTTTGCTTAGCTAGTGGGATCTGGTTACATTAAGGTGCTGATACTTCTGCTTAGGTATGAAATAACCCAGTGAAGGGTGATTTTTTGATTTTCCTTTTGGGAAGAGGTGGGGAAGTGATTATTTCATTAGTGGGTTAAGGTAAACTTAAATAAATGTATTGCTATTCATATGGTATATACTGTAGAAGGAGGTAATATTAGTGCAGTTACTGTCACATGATCACAAACCCCTTTCAAATTTTTCTAATATATGCATTTATTTTGAATAAAATAAAATCTTTATCTACAATGTGAATATAGAATAAAGGGTCTCCTTTTTAAAAAATGCATGGGTTTTCACAAAAAGATGGCTGTAAAACTATAACTGGTATTTTAATTCTAATTCTAAATAATTTTGAAATGAATACCCAACCAGGCACCACACATTAGCATTAGGATTTTATGGTGGAATTAACTTCTGATTTCTCTAAATCAGAATATTTTTCTCCTTTCACTTTTTTGAAAGATAAGTTTATTAGCACATTTAAGTTTCCTTAAATGTGCTAATACAATGTATTATTAACAGTAAAACTGGTAGCTTTAATGTTTAGGAGATTACATTGGATTACAAGACTGGTGTGAGACTGCATTAATGATTGATTTCAGTTTTTAGGAAGCTGTGTTACAGTCCAAGGGTTTTAAGAACATTTTACTTATTTTAATCTTCAAACCAAGACTGTAGCCCTAATATTGAAGTGAGACATCCGCACACAGCTAGTTGAAACCTTTTTTTATGCTTCAGAGCCCACAGGAGTTAGGGACCTGGTGCTTTATCCCCTGAGTCCAACAACAGTGATCCTTAGCTGGAGACGGCCTTACCATGTGGCATTCCGGAAGTATGTGGTGGAAATGTTCTTCTTCAACCCAGTGACCTTGACTTCAGAGTGGACCACGTACTATGAGATCGCAGCTACCCATTCCCTCACATCCACTGTGGTAATGTGTTGTTTTATTCAATGTTATACAATTATAAAGTACAGTATGTTTATGGTAATGGCCTGCTGATTTTGTATTATTTGAATTTAAAATTAAAATCGAACTACTCATAACTCCTAAAACATTAGTCATGCTGACTCATTGCTACATCCCCAATATAACCCCTGTTAATGATGAATTAGATACATTACAGTACACGGCATTCAAAATATGCATCACAGTCCCATCTGTTTCTTTTTACATTGCAATCCCTGAGTGCAAACAGCTTTGTGTCTCTGGTACAGCAAGCACAGCGCTTTATAATTAAAGACTATGGAAGCTTCTAGCCCATATTATACCATATGACCAACCCCAGGCAATAGGGTGGTCTTTGTTTCTGATCAGAGGCATTTACCAAATAAACCACCCTAGGATTCAATACTCAGTTACATTGAATTGATAGTCTGCATTAGAGCACTGAGTGGTGATTGATTTTTTCTAGCGAGTGACTGACCTGCTGCCTGCCTGGTACTACAACTTCCGCGTTACCATGGTAACCTGGGGAGAACCAGAACTCAGTTGCTGTGACAGTTCCACTGTGAGCTTCATAACAGGTACAATCTAGTGTGACATTGAGACATTGAGACATTGAGACGGAACCTGATGTTTAAATACAGCCAACTAGAATGTGTGAGGTGTCAGTTGGTGTATTGCTGTAGGTACCATGGTGTCACAGACAGCAGCGCATCATGGCTTTTTTATTATTTCAGATAATATAATGCAGGACTCCCCTCTTCCACCAGCAATTTGTAGCCCCCACCTGGATGATGCTACGGCAGCCAAAGTGTGGTGCCAGTATGCTCACCACACATCAGCTATCATTGGGAAGGAGAAAAGAGTAATGAGGCCAATTCATAGATGGCGATTGTTAGGAGGCTGTGATTGGTAAAGGCCAGAGGAAAATTTGGCCAGGACAACAGGGTAAACATCCCTACTCTTTTCAAGAAGTGCAGGGATTTTAATGACCATGGAGAGACAGGACCTCGGTGTAACGTGTCATTCTAAGGACAGTGCCTTTTTAACAGTACAGTATAGTGTCTTTGTCCCTATACTGTGGCATTAGGACCCACACAGACGACAGGGTTAGTGCTTCCTATTGGTCCCACTAACACCTCTTCCAGTAGCAACGTTAGCTTTCCCAGGAGGTCTCCCATCGAGGTGCTGGCCAGGCTCACACTTGCTTAGCTTCAGTGGGTTGCAAGTTGTGCGTTGCAGAGTGATATAGCTGCCTGCAATAAACAAATCAGATTGTATGCACACTAGCAACAATTTCGTTAAATACGGGGATTATGTTGTTGAGACAGGATATTGTTACCATATTGCTACCACAACTCCAAATGAGATATGTCACAACACTGTATAACACTAACAGAATTACAATTTTTAAGTACATATGAAATATGTGTATAGTTTTGAGGAAACATAATTTTATTTTTTATATTAATTATAAAAATATATTGTAAATAGTGGCTTTAAAAATATAATATTTAAAAGCAAATAACCATGTAAAACACAAAATAGAAGACAGATTAAAATAAAAGTTACGAGTGATTTGTTCCATACTGTAATAATGGCATCTAGATTAAGGCTATCTGCAAAAAGATGCTAATACTGTAGTTGGTGTACAGTATGGATATCTCGGGATATTACTTCACTGAATTCTTTAATGTGTGCTGCATGTCAGGAATTGTTTTCTTGTCCATGTATTCTGCTCATTCAGCAAATAACTGCTGCTGCTGCTAAGTGCCGTCGAGTCAGTGTTGACTCATGGCGACCCTGTGGATAGTTCTTCTGAATTGCGTTCGGTCTTCAGTCAGACGGCTAATCATTGATAGATGAGCATCATAGCTGTGGTTATTGTATCAGTCCATCGCATTGCTGGTTTTCCTCTTCTGCATTGGCCTTCAACCTTGCCAAGCATGATGTCTTTTTCTAGGGATCTATCACTTTGCATGATGAAGTATGAAAGTCGAAGTCTTGTCATTTGAGCTTCCAGAGGAACACTTAGGTTTGATCTCCTGCAATACCTATTGATAAGTGTTTCGGGCAGTCCACAGTATACGCAGTATTCTTCGTCAACACCATAATTCAAAGGCGCTGATTTTCTTCCTGGCTTTTTTCTTCACCTTCAAACTTTTGCATCCATATAACGTTATTGAAAATACCATGTCTTGAACAAGTTGAATCTTTGTATGCAAAGATACATCTCTACACTTAAAGATCTTGTCTAGGTCCTTCATAGCCATTCTGCCAAAAGCGATTTGACTTTGAATTTCTCGACTGCTTGTCATTTCATTGTTGATTGATCTAACCAAGCTGAAGTTGTCTACTATTTCTATTTCTTTACCGTCAAGAATGAAATTATTGATTTGACCAGTTGTCAAGATCTTTGTCTTCTTCACGTTAAGGTGTAAGCCCATTTTGAGACTATGTTCTTTGATCTTGATTAGCAGATGTTTCAGATCGTCTTCACTTTCAGCCAGTAATGTGGTGTGGTCCACGTAGCAAAGATTGTTGATGAGTCTTCCCTTCCCTTTCACACCTCAATTTTCTTCATACAGTCCTGCCTCTCTTATGATTTGTTCCGTGTATAAGTTGAATAGGTGTGGGAAAAGTATGGAGCCCTGTCTTACACCTTTGCCAGTTTTAAACCATTCTGTATCTCCTTGTTCTGTTCAAACTACTGCTTCTTGATCGTTGTAAAGGTAGTGCATGAAAACTATCAGGTGTTCCGGTATACCCATGCTTCTTAATGTGGCCCAGAGTTTTTCATGATTTATGTATTCAAAGGCCTTGCTGTAGTCCATGAAACACATACTGTAGATATACTGCTGATATTCTTTTGTTTTTTCAAGGATCCATCTCATACCCGATGTCTCGATGACGACAATGATGTCTCTTGTTCCTTGCCCTTTCCTGAATCCTGTTTGCTCCTCGGGCAATTCTTGTTCTAAGTATGGTTATAGTCTCCACTGAATGATCTTGAGTAGAATCTTGCTGTTGTGGGAAATTGGAGCGATTATGTGATAATTTCCACAATCATTCAGATCACCTTCTTCAGGATTGGTATGAATACGGATCTTTTCCAGTAATTCGGCCATGATGTTGTCTTACACATTTCCTGGCAGAGCCTTGTGATTATTGTAACTGCTGCCTCTGATTGCTGTAATACTTTGATGGGAATGCTGTCAATGCCAGGTGCTTTCTTTTTTGGTAAGGCTTTCAAAGCTGCTTCTACTTCCTCTTTCATCACCAACGGTTCCTGATCGTAAGGAACAGGTTTAAACAGCTGTTGATCTGCTTGATCTTTGTAATATAATGACTCTGTGTATTCTTTCCACTTTTTCTTGATCTTCTCAGCGTCGTTAAGCATGAATCCTTGAACGTCTTTTAGCATTCCAATTAAGAGGCTGGAATTTTCTCTTTAGCTCTAGTAGTTTTAGGAATCGATCGTGTTCTTCCTCTAGTATTTTCTGATTCTATTTTGTTGCACACGTCATTATAGTACTTCTCTGTGCCTCGTCTTGTGGCACTTTTGAAATTTTGGCTAAGTTCCATGGGTGTCTCTTTTTCCCCTCTGGCTTTATTTTCTCTACGTCTCTATGTTTCTGGACAATTTTCAAAAATTCATCAGTCATCCATTTTGGTCATTTTTTTGCTTTGTCACTTTTTGCAGGGACTTTTCACTTTCTTCAAGCACAACCTTGTTGGTGTCTTCCCATAATTCGTCTGGTACTCTGCCATTTGTATTCAATGCGGAGAATCTGTTTCATAGGCAGGTTTTAAACTCTGGTGGTATATTTTCAAGATCATACTTTCCTACACACCTAACTGGCTTGCTCTTTTGCAGCTTTAGCTTGGGTTTGCATACTAATAGTTGGTGATCTTTACCACAATCGGCTCCAGGTCGCCGCTTGTGTTGCTGGAAGAAGGTGTTTGCAAGAAGAAGCAGGTTGTTGGTCTTACAGAACTCTATCAAACGTTTGCCCACTTTATTTCTGTTACCAAGCCCATATTTTTCAACTATTTGGCCTTCTTCTTTGTTTCCAACCTTTGTGTTCCAGTCGCCCATGACTATAAATATGTCTTGTTTGCATGTTCTGTCGATTTCAGCTTTCACTTGTTCGTAGAACTGAACAACTTTGTCCTCTTGTGCATCTGTTGTTGGCGCATATACCTGATTGATAGTCATGTTAATGGGCGTTCCTCTTAGACAAATAGAAATTAAGCATTTGCTAACGGCATTGTATTTCATTACTGTTCTTGCAAGACTCTTGATTATAAATGCGACATCATTTCTTCTTTGTCTTTCATTTCCGGCGTAGTATATTATATGTTCATCGGATTTAAAGTGTCCAATGCTAGTTCATTTCAGTTCACTGACGCCCAACAGATCGAGTTGTATAGGTTCCATTTTGTTCTTGACCACAACAGCTTTCCTTGGTTCATACTTCGTATGTTCCATGTTCCAATGTGTAAGTGATCTTTGCAGCTTCTGACCCTCATTTCATGCCCAGCAACATCAGCAGTTAGACGTCCCGAAGGCACTGACCCAAACTCGTCGCATACGCTGGCTTTACTTTGAAGAGTTTTCAGCTCTTCCCCAGTTGCCCGTTGAGTGCCTTCTGACCTGAGGAGCTCACCTTCCAGCACTGTATCGCAATTTGTTTTATCATCGCTATTCATAGAGTTTTCTTGGCGAGATACGGAAATAGGTTGCCAGGCCTTTCTTCCACGCAGATAATGTTAGCCGCCAGCACCGTCCCATACTGCTGCTGCTCGGTATGGGTTATTGAGGCAAGTGAAACCCTTAACTGGCGGGGTAACAGTCACCATGTAGCAGTACTGTCATTCAAGCTTAGGTGGCTTTCTATAGAAGACCCGGTCGCCAACCATGAATCCACCAAGCTCTTTTAGTGCCACCGTTTGTTGTCCACAACTACTTATTTGTCGGGCAAGCCCGCTTATTTCGCAGCTAACCTCCAGGAGGTAGTTCCCTAATCCACAACCTGGGGACGCGCCCGGTGGCATTGAGCTCGCCGCTCCGGGAAATTAAAAACGACATGCTGTTTAATATGTATTATATGTATTATTAATAAAATATACTTTTTTAATATTATTAATAGAATATCAAAGCACCTTACAGTGGGTATAAAATAAATCTAAGGAGTTGTATTATCTTTAACCATTCAGAATGTCTGAATCACGGCTAGAGAGAGATAGGCAGACAAAAGGAAAGAAAAAAATGAATCCCTGCAACACTTGAATGCCCTCAGAAAAGAAACTGTTTCTTGTGCATAACAAGTGTTTTTTAATTGTCGAAAACTATTTTCTACCGCATTATAACTCATGCAATATTTAAGTTAGGGAGAGATACAGTAAATAATTGTTTCTTCGGCACCAATTGATTGCAGTACAAGGATGTTTGATTTCTGAATTTCAGAAATTATTAATTAGTGTTTCACCCAGACATGCTAATCTGCTTTTCAGTCATGCTGTGTGGGAAGAAATCATTAAAATGATATTAAAATGTTTAGCACACTCATACTGTTCCTCAACTATGTAATGGCAAATTGCAACAATTTCATTTGCTTTGATTCGTTTATAATCACTCCATAAAATCATTGTTTTCTGAGAATTGGTGTGAAACCAGGCACAATAAATGACAAGGTGTGATGCAGGATCCAGTCGTGGCATTTTAATACAGTAGTTATGGTATGTTTTTTAATGTTTACGTAAAGTATAAAATGTTATATTTTAAAAAAAGGATAATTATTAGACTAAGAAAAAACTGATTAAATTAAGCTACCATTTCAGTAACATCTGACAGAGCACAAGTGTCACCTATCGATGTGTTATGAGCTGTGAAGGGTGTAGTGGCACACCAGACCAAAATGTAGTTTACCGCAGTGTGCTTTCCTCTATTTTGAGTTTTTGTATGCACATTCTAGATGACTGCATCTGTATGTAGAGGATTACGTTCAAAATCATGTCTGTCCCTCTAAAAAAATTAAATAATTTGCTTTTTGTTTTTAGCTCCCGAAGCTCCGCACATTTCCTCGGTTGATTATTCCAACAGCATGCTGTACATCAGGTGGACATATGGTGACGTTTTCACAGACCTGTCGCATTCCAGAATGCTCCACTGGCTGGTTGTCGCAGAAGGCAATAAGGGTGTCAAAAAGAGCATATCATCTGATGTAAGTCATTCTCATTTGTCGGCAACAGATAAAAGCTAGAAAGGCAGAATCACTTCACTATATCCTTAAGCACTTTCACATTCAATGTTTGTGTACCATTGCTCCTATAGCATCAAGCCTACTAAAAAGTTGATGTCAGCCCTCTTGGATTTTGGAAAGCTTCAATTATCCCACAGCAGGGGGACTGGCCTTTCGGTGTACAGGCTGTGGAGCTGTGTGGCTCTGAAGCTGTAGGTGACAGTGAGAGGCCATGAATGCCTGCAGGATATGCAAAGAATTGCAAATTAAAGTCAATAGAAATGGAACAGAAATCTATACATACTTCTAGAAGCAGTACTTTGAAGCATAACATCACAATGAGGACATCACTTTCTGTTAATAGTAATTGGTAATATCTGATTTTCTATTAACTGTGTAATCAAATTTAAATTGCAAAAATGTTTATTTTCATTCTATTTTTAGATAGAGATTTTATTAATAAAATTCTGAAATGGCTGCATTTACTATATAACATCTTAATTTTCCTTCAATTTCTTACATTTATGTTTAGTTTTTGCTACGTTTTAAGAGAGTATAAAAGTGAAGAGTTTTGACCAAATACATCACAATACAAGAGCTATTTTGTTCAAACATTTCTTAAAGATTCAGTAGCAGTTGTGTACCAAGCAGCTTTCTATTTGAGAGATCAGTTGTGCCTCTAAAAGTCTGTAAAAAAGCTGAAGTATTTTCTGGAGAATTGATAAAAGAAGTAACCGCATGATCAAATAAAACACATGTGTGACTTGCAATGGTCATTTTCAAAGATGAAAAGAGCAAAGAACGATGCAGAAGTCTCTCACCAATGATTTAATAAAACATCCTTAGATAATTAGATAATATTTTGTGTTTAAGTGCAACAAATGAACAGTATTCAGTCATTAGGGGGACATAAATTAATAGAGATGAAAGGATGCAATGTTCAGTTCTTAGTCTAATAGTTATGTATTGAAGGTAGTCTATTTGATATTAGTTGAAATTATGTTATCTCTTTTTTTAAAAAGGACAGAAACAATTTGTTCTTTCAAAAGCATGATTTTCTTTTAATCAGCTAGCAGTACAAAGGCCCTTTTCTTAATCCGCTTTCTTGGCTGTGTCAGGTAAAAGTTGTAAAATGTAGTCTTATTTCCATATTATGCATAAATTAATTACTTATCTTTACTTATTACTTCATATATTAATATATGGCCATGCATAATTCTGGCCATTGGGTTTTTTAAACATTCTACTGAAATGTTAAAAGTGCTTCAACTGAATTCCATATCTCTGCAGGTGACCCGGACTGTAATGAAAGCAGTGCTAAGTTTACCCCCAGGAGACATCTACAACCTAACTGTCACAGCCTGCACAGAGCGCAGCAAGAACACATCTGCACCACACATCGTTAAAGTGGGTCAGTACCTGAGTGTACATGAGTGAGTTAGCATTCTCCTGGGAAGCACTGCAGTGCATCATTTTTTAATCACTAGTGTATGAAATAATTGCCTTACATTTATTTTTACACAAGTCCCTTTGAAAAATATATTTGTATAAGCCAGATTCTTCACCGCTATCAGCTGTAGCACTCCAGAGAACCCATGTGAACCCACTGCTTTGGTCTTTTAATATTGATTCCATGCCTAAAATGGGCAGGTATCTCACTGTCCTGTGTGTAGTATGCTGTTGCTGTGCATAAGAGAAAGACTACCACAAAAAGTATCAGCCCCTTTCATATTGTGGCAATGGAATATGTGTTTCAAGAATTTACTATTTTCACTAAATGTGGGCCTCTGCCTACCAACATTGCTTTGTTACGTCTGTATGGCAACTTTGTTTTTGTTGAAATAGCAGTAGCACATAGAGTTTCTCTTTATTTTACTTTTGTATTTATAATGGCTCCACTGAATGTTCCTTAGTTAGAATTTTTATTGTTACAAAGAGAGAGTAAAGAAATCAGAGTGGGATAAACAAATAATTAAAACCCCAAATGTAAAAAAAACTCGAGTGGTTAGTATAATTAGGCTTGTGAGTTCTTTATTATCTGGGACAGCTCTGGTGGGTAATAAATTAGAGGCAAACTAGGACAGGTAATTATTAATTATTAATATGACAATGACACAAAACAATATGGCATACAATGTTACACACTTACAACATTCACCGTTACCCTATTTACAGGCGTTCAGAGGCCTACTGTACATACTGAAAAACTATTCCTAACCATGTAATCTGAAATTCTATATAATGCCTAAACAGGCAAAACAAATAAAGGGGAATCTTACTTTCCATTTTTTAGAGCTATTGTAAAAATGTTACTTTCTAAATTTTCTAAACGTTCTAATTTTTAGAACTGTTCTAAAACTGTATCACGAACTTGAAAAGAATGTTTTAAGCCTGAGGATTCCACAACAAAAAGAAATCAGAATTTCCTTAAACAATAGGACAGCAGGCTCTCTTAACCAAGGTGCAAATTACCTCTAGTTACCTGGCATGGTTCTTCTCTCTTTCATTGCTTTTCTCTTTATTTCCACTCTTCCTTTGCTACTCTGTTGACTCTCTGTTCCCTTCTTTCTGGGTGTTGAAAATATAACCTTATCTTATTATGATTAACCAGTGTAATTCAGCAGACCATTTGTGATCATTTGTGTTTACTGGCCTGTAAACTCAGTTGCAAATAAGTAAAATTGAACTTTTCTATTGTTGATATGAAAAGGTCTGTTGCTACACACAGTATTTCTTTCAGAGTATGCTTTACTGTAAAAAATGAGTTTTTCTCACTTATACAGTATTTCCATCGTTCAAATGTTTCAACAGTATATAAAATATCCAACACAAATACCACAAGAAAAACTGTAAGTTAAATATGATCAGTATTCTTTCCTGACACTGTTGTTTCAATCACAAGATTTATCAACACTTAAAACAGAGTAGGACTAAATAAGAATTATTGTAATAGAAACTGAAAATTGCATTTCTTCATTTGTGAAGAGGAAGTTTCCAGACTCAAAATAGCTTCTTCTTTTCTACTCAGAAACACTATTTTTATCTTCTACAAAGGCCTGAAAGCTTACTGGATAAAGGTTTTTTGCTTTACAGAGCCTGCACCTCCAAAGTCTTTATATGCCGTGAATGCAACTCAGACCTCAGTCACTCTCCTGTGGGTAGAGGAAGGAGTAGTGGATTTCTACCAGGTTTACTGTAAGCAAGTTGGTTCAAGTAGAGAGCTGAAGGTAAGGCACACAACTCTATTACACAAGATTTGAAGTAATAATAAAACAGATACTGTACTTCAACTGCAATATGTAATGTTTTAAATTTATTTTTTCTTCTTAATGCCTATCACTTCTTTTTTATCAATCAGTTATGATTTAATCTCCATTAAAGATAAAAACAATCTGTATTTTAAGTGTTCTTATTCTGTTGCTTATGTTAAAATTGTTAGTTTTATTTTTTGTCATTTTAACCCTCTTTATCTTTCTCAAATCAAATGGCTCATGCTAAATTGAATACATACCTTACATTCTAAGTGGAAGTCATTCTGTAAAGAGCTTTTAATGTTTTAATGAACAGATATAAATACTGTAGCTCTCATGTCTCCCAGTTCAGTGTATTGTCAGTTCAGTTAATAGGTACTTTTGCAACATCATAAGTTAAACGGAGGTAAATTTCAGATGGCAAGAAAGTGTTCTGTGGTGGAAATCATATGCTTGTATGTAAAATAAAGGATAGGAAAAAATAAATATGTAAATAGTTTGTTTTACTAGTGTCATATTCGTTTAAGTCCTTTGCTTGGCCGATCACTTTCAGAAAGCACATATCTGCAGTTTCAGTAGTCTTCATTGCTGGCTGTAAAATGAGAAATGACATTCTAAAAATGTCTTTGAGAATGGAGAACCATGTAATCCATAAACTAATGTATGTTTAGCTGTATTTTGTATTGTATTAAATGGTCTTTTTAAAATAACTATTAATAGTTTTTACAACACCTTTAAAAGTAGCTTCTTAATGCCCTTTACAGTAACCAAAAAACACAGTTAAGACAAAAGAAAGAAAACATTTATCAAAGTTAGGGGATAACAAAATTAGAACACATAAACACAAGGGATTAAAAACGCAGCTGAAGATACAAGGACCAGACACAGACACCAATTACATAATAGCTTTCCTGAAAAGGAGGTTTTGATTCTGGATTTGAATGTGCTCAGGGTAGGTGACTTTCTGATATCCTGGGGGATAGAATTCTAGGAAGGTAATAAGATAGGAACTGAGATGCCAAACCAAGTAGAACTATACTGTAGGTGAGCATTAGGATTTTGAAATTGACACATAACCTGATAGGAAGCCAGTGCAAGGACTCCCAAGACAGGAGTAACATGATCACTTGTGCTCGACCTGGTCAGGAGCCTGGCTGCCGAATTCTGGACATATTGTCATAACATACAGTAAGTTTGTTCAGCATGGATTTAGATAAGCCAGCAAGTAAGGTGTTGCAGTAATCAATCATAGAAAAGACAATTGTATTGACCAGCTTTCCTGCTACAGTCAGAGACAACATAGGACGTAGTCTGGCAATATTTCTGAGCACAGATCAAATATCACCCCTATATTTGTCAATTAGATTTTCAGATTGAAATTCAAGTACAATGCCATCCACAGATAGGGTTACTGCAGTAGCATTACATAGCTGATGGGAGGTGCTGAGAAGCGTGACTTGCAATTTAAATGAAGGAAATTTTGAGTCATTAAGGTTTTTATGCCAGAGATGCAGTCAGAGAGTGCAGAAACAGCTACTTCAGTGTCATGTTTAGAATGGATGTAGATTTGAGTATCATCAGCAGAGAAATGATCATTCACACCATGTTATTTTACTAACTAACCAAGTGGGAACATGTACATACTGTATAGTAGGGGGCCCAGTATTGAGCCCTGAGGAACACCAGACAAAATGAACCCAACTTCAGAACTAAAACCCCCAAGAGAGACAAAGTGTTTGGAATCAGTAAGGTAAGACCTGTTTAAGAGCAGTGGCAGAAATTTTAAAAACAGTCTCAAGACGAGAAAGTAAGATGCCATGATTAACAGTACTGAAATCAATACTGAGGTCTAGGAGGATAAGGATAGATAGAAAAATGGAATCAACAGCCACAATAAAATCATTAGTAACTTTAACAAGGACAGTTTCTGTCCTGTGTAATTGTCTGTAACCAGATTGCAGGACGTTATTTGTAAAGAGCTGGTTGTTTAATTAGCCACCGCATGTTCTAAACTTTTTGCAAGAAAAGGTAGATTGGATATTGTTAAGGTGTCAGAGCCATGTTTGGTTTTGTAAGGCACTCAGTGTCAACTAGAAACTAGAAAGAGGAGAACTGGCAAAATTAGTCATGTAAGGAGGAGGTGTAGTAGTAAGATGCATAGTGGAGAGAATGTGATGCTAGATGTTATCGATCTTGGAAGTAAAAAACTCAAAGAAAGTGCTACAAAGTTGCGATGATGCAGGTAATGTAGTAGCAGCTTTAGCGGTCAATTGATGGTGGAGAATAGGCATCTAGATTGTTATGGCTGTTTTCAGTGATATGGAAGAAACAGCTGGATCTAGCAGACTCCATTGAATCCATGTATTCAATCCTCCTTTCAAAACCGAAGATATACACTTGAGCCAGAAAGATGCAACCTGCATTCTAGTTTGTGGAAAGCAGCCTTTTCTGAATGCAACTGGTCAGTATACCATGGTATAGATTTGATTTGGTGCAGAGTGAGTATAGGAGATAGTTCCAGTTTTAAGAGGAGCTAAGGTATAAACAGTAGTCTTCCAGAATATCAGAGTTGGAAATGCAAGATGATGAACAGAATCCATATAACTAGTCTGGTAAATTGATTGAAAGATGCTAAAACTTACAGAGCATAAGGGAAAAGAGAGTTAGACAGGGAATTCTTGATCAAGAGAACAGCCAAGTGACACCTGCGGTAGGTCTAGATAAGTTCAAGTTGTGACCTTTGTTGTGACCTGGACTGAGTGCAAGTGTTGTTTGAGACCAAAGCATTCTACAAAGTTAGAAAGTCATTTTCTATGCTGGAAGGCTATGATGCAAAATCACCAAAAATAAATTATTAAAACAAGCATAACAGAGACAATAAATCAACAAACTCACCTAAAATGGCATTATTATGCTTGAAGGGTCTATAAACTGTAACAATGATTGTAGAATGTTGAATATCTTTTCACTATGCCTATGTGAATCTCATTTCTACTGCAATATTGACAAAAAAAAAGAAAATTGTATGCTGAAATGTTTAAAACTCTATATTTTGTTTAAACATTTAGCACATTGTCTTGTGTGTTGGAATTCATATATTCTTCATTGGGTGGGTTGCTATGTAATTTCACAGTAGCAGTTAAATAAGGGATAATGCATTAAAAATACTTTAAGACTTTAAATCCTTAAACTACAATGGACTTTAAAATCAGGCCATGCCCAGCAGTGAAGATAAATATTTTCCAGTCGTTCTGGATTCAAAAAGACTCCGCTATATGAAACAAATTCTTTTGAGACTGATGAAATAGGAGAATAGTTTGCTCAGTCAATCATTTGATCAGATATGTGATGCCCTACTTTTATTAAATGCAGTGACTGTAAATAGACCTGGCATGCTAAGGACATCAGTTAGGAGAAAATGAAATAAGACAATACATTATGCTGCAGTAGACCCCTGAAAACTGAAAAAAAAACCACCAACCTTGTCTTGTTTTGTTTAGTTTTGTTGGTTTCTTTCAATGTTATTGGGTATTTGTATGCATAAACATCTACCAAATGAGTTTGATAACATGTACTCAGGATGTGATCAGACAATCCTTCATATATCTTAGTTTGTTTCACCCACCTTTGAATCTTCTTTGCAGGAAAAGGAAGCCCAGACAGTGAACTCTCATGTGGTGACCATATCCAGTCTACTGCCCTCCACTGCTTATAACTGCAGCGTCACTAGCTACAGCCATAACACACCCAGCGAGCCCACGTTCATCGCTGTCTCCACACGGGGTAGAGGTCTTCTGTTTATAAGCACATAAAACCTTCTTATCATGCATTCTCACACACAATGTCTACAATCAGTATGCATTAATGATCATCAGCTCTCTCCTCCTTCATCCTACTTGACAGAAATAAAATCAATGCTATGTTATGCATGTGTGATGCACAGAAGAAAACCAACACTAAGGTCTGATGGATTTAAATAATAAATACAGAAGATGTTAACACAAATGTAACAAAAGTGTTCTTTCCGGACCCTATGCGGACGACACAATCCGGGGTTGAGTGAGAATACACGAGGGAAAAAGGCATGCAGGAAGCGGAGATGAAGACAGGGGGGCGTGTCCATGGTGTGCTGGTGGTCGGGGGGGTGAGTCCGGGGCAAACGATCTAAAACAGAGTCCAATGCAAAATCCAGGACAAAGGCAAAAGGTCCAAAGCCGGGCGGTCCATCCGAGACTCCCCATTAAAAATGGGAACCGGATCGGAACTGGCAGGGGAAACGGAAACAGGAACAGAAACTTAAAACCATAACGGAGCCAGGCGTATCCAGGTCCCGGGCTCTCATGATACGGAAACCAGTGCAGAGCCCAGATTAACGTCAGCGTTTGGCTTTTAAGGGGGGCTGGGAGGAGGCTGGAACAAGGGGCGGGTGCACAAAATCAGGTCCGAAGTGAAAGAGCCGGAGCACCCTTAAGGGGGAGGGACTACAATCGTGACAACAAAAGCATTTAAAAAACTAAAATGTTTGCCTGAACATGACACAATGTCAAAATTAAAACAATGGAAGATTAGGGTCAGGCATTAACAGAGTCCTGACAGTGTTGACTCATAGATATGATAAGCCCTGGACAGAATGCTGTGAAATGTTCTGCCACTCATTTCCAATCATGTAGTGAAAGCTGAATAGGCTTGGTTGTCTCCAGTTGATAACACTGGTGAGTTGCTCCCATAAATGTTATTTTAGATTCAGCTCCAGAAAAAAGGCTGGCCAGGGCAAGTCTTCAGCATTGTTTCTTGTGCCATTTTAATTCCAGCACTATTGATTCCTCTCTACAACAGCACATTTCCACCAGTCCACTGATTGTCTTGAGCAATAACTCGGTCTGGATATCACTCAACATGATGTCAGATCTGTCGAGGACAAAATGGTATTCATGGTGTTTAAAACCGACCAATTTTCTGTCTCCTGCTTTAGATAAACTCTGTGACACAGAAGACAGCAGTTGTCTCTGTCCTGCAGCTGTCAATATTACCACTGTAGGCACTGTGGTGTCTCCGGGGGAATAGATAAATGTAATAAGTACGAAAGTACTCACACCACACACTCTTCTTTTATTTTTGTGAGTTTTCCTCCCTTTCCTTAGTTTGTCGTCTTCCAAACCAGTCCGCAATCCGTTTTCTCTGTCCTTGTTCAGTCCGTGTTCCAAAAGTTCGTAAGATCCAACAAATCCGCGCCGAGTCCAAATCACAAGCCGTATACCGTTATCCTTTATTTATTCTGTAAATCCGTTGTCCTTAAATCTTTGTCCATTCCAACCAAACTCCACTCTCTTCTCCGAAATGCATTCACCTACTGGCTTCCGCGCCGGTTCACTGTCTCATCTGCAGGTCAGCTGGTTTCTCTTAGCGGCCATCGTGGTCAGGTCTAAGTCAAGTATAGTGAGCAGATCGTTCCTAAAATACCTGTCCTGGATGACCCTTCCTCTGGTCCTCTTACAGCACCTAAGCATTCAGATCATTTTTAATGCAGACAGTGTGCTACAGTCATTCTGCAGAGACTTGGTGTCCCTTAAATTCTTGTTCTGTAGCTACTATAGTCTGAAAAGTGATGATAAAAAGTAACGTAGATGGATTTGATGGTCCTGGGCCGGTATTGTGACTTTCTGCCCTGTAAAATGTAGCCTGAGAAAACCTCACAGAGCTAGTTTCCTGGTTCTTTAGTGAGGTGATATTTGAAGTGAACTCAAGTTGTAAAAGAAAATCAGGTATAATGACTCTGGGGTTTAGCAAAGATGTTGCATGTGTAGGGGGATGTCCCCTGTGAATGTATTTTGAATGTCTTTACCTCTGGTCAGAGGATTGTCAAGCCTGTGTTTTTCTTTTACAACAGATTGAACAATATCTTCATGGATATTTTAAAAGCAAAATACATTTCCCTATGTGCTAATGGATATTTGTCTAATAATAAGCACTTTGTTGTACGTCTTCTAAAAGGGGATTGATACCCATGTCAGGAACAGCCAGTCTTCGTTACTCATGCCAGGCATGGCTTCTCTGTTTCAGCATTAATTACCATTATTAATTGTTATATCAATTCATTCTGAAGATTTTTAATTGAATTCAAATATAAGCACTGAGCGCCTGGCATGTTTACGAACTTACATGAGTGCTAAAACAAATGGACATACATCCTAGCGAGCCATTAATGTAAAATTTAAATCATGTTTAAATGTCATGAAAATAAAATAAGACATGTCCTGATTTTGTTTCACTGTGCATCACTATGTACACAATGTTGTTGCTAGTAAAGGGTCAGTCTTTCTGTTACATTTAAACAATAGTATCCCAAAACTTAAAACATGAAATAATTTATGTGTAGACCATACACTTACAGAAAATATTACTGATAGATGATATTACTGATGGCTTCTCTACTAAAATGAACTGTACCTGCTATTTTATGTTGGATATTGTAAATGTTTTTTTTTTCTTTATGAACAGGACCAGTTTATTTCTTTCGGTCTACAGCAATTTCCTGTGTTTTGCAGTGACAGAGATGAATCCTAACGTGGTAGTGATCTCAGTCCTGGCCATTCTGAGTATTGTCCTGATCAGCCTCCTACTGTTCATCCTCATTATGCTCAGGAAGAAGCACCTTCAGATGGCCAGGTGAGTGTCTGGGAACCAACCAGCCACAACAGTGCAGTTCAAGTCAGATTAAGTTATGATTTCAGATAAGAACATAAGAAAGATACTGTACAATTGGGAGAAGATCATTTGGTCCATCTTCCTCATTTGGTTGCCAGTAGCTGATTGAGTCTGGGATTTCACCCTGAGTTCTTTCTCGAAATAATTGGGTATCAGCTTTATCAAATTGACTGAGTAGTTTGTCACAGAATCCTTCAACAACATGTATAAAAAAGTGCCTCTTCTCTGTGTCTAACTATTATGAGGTACTCTCTGTTGTATATATGAATAAATAATAGGATTTCATACTGTTTAAAGTAAATTTCATAATGTTTTATTCTTTTCACTTGTGATCTGAAAAAAGTACAGTATTTTGAACTTCTTAATTTGTGGTTATTTAGTTGGAGCCAGTCTGTCTAAACGCAGGCGTGCAGTCTGTATAGCTAGAAAAGCCAGTTCACCTTTAACAAAACATCAGACACTCATACTGTAGATATTGAATATAATTAATCTTTTTAGCAATCATGTAAGATTGCAAGTAGCTTTTAAAGTCTTGACAAGATGACAACAATGTAAGTACAAAGTTTTTCACAATTCAACAAAAAAAAATTAACAATTTAATAGAAAGAATAAAAAAACTAAAAAGAGATATAATTGTATGGTACCACTTTTCCTAAAGAAATATTTTAAAAAGCTTCCTTTCTTTATGAAGAACCTAGTTTATAACTGAAAGAAGTAATACATACTGTAGCTGTTACTTCAATATACTGTAACTAGGCTCAGTTCTATTCAATTTTTATTTTTCCTGCCAAACCACCAGTATATATATTTTTTGTTTGAATTTGAATATATAATTGTTTTTAATTTGAATTCATTGTTATTTTTATTTTTATTATGCTGCAGTGGCACTTATACAACTGCTTGACAAGACATGTCGCCTCATGGTGATGATAGATCTCTGCTCAGAATCTCAGAACAGATTGTGCCATCTCCAGTTTATCTTGGTTGTTAATGAGGGTCACAATAAGGGTCACTTAGCAGAAACCTGCAATTTGCATCCTAATGTCTTTCATTAGGACATCCAAGAAGGACTTCTTTCTGTGCACTCAGTGCTGTGCTGTTTGCTTTGCGCCAGCATTGCCTCTGTGATTGATCTTTCAACTTGTAATGATAGCTGGAGAACCTGTGTCCTATGATACAGAAAAATGTCCTCTGTCACTAAGCACCTTGGTAACCTTCAGATTGGTTGATTTAAACAGATTGTCTAACTAATAATTAGCAATCAATCTGAGCAACACCTGTAGTTAGTCTGCTAACTTTTTTTCTTCCTTTATCTGCTTACTCTAATATTTGAGAATAAAGTCTAATATTTGTACTACAACAGAAGCTAGAGAGGGCAGGTAGAAAATCATTCACTAAGCTATAGTTTGTAAGGACTCATGTAAACACTGGCCTGCAGCTTCTGTTGACAGGGTGGTGTGAGAGAAAATTAACCATTTTTAACTGGGGCCAAATATTGGTCAGTCTAGCTGTGTTTCAGACTCTCTCCGTTGTCATAAAGGTAATATAACCCCAGTAAATCTCCATCCATGGAGAATTCAACATTTTTCTGGTACAGAAAATTGAATATTTTATTTCTCTTCTCTGGCTTTAGACTGAATATTAAAATGGATTCAATATGGTAGATTATTCAGACTGAAAGAAAATATTTTGTTGCCACTGCAAATCCTGTATAGCCATTACATTTTGTGTTTCAGTCAACATGTGTATGAACTAGCATCTGCATGACCATAGATGAATATTTATTTTTATTTTGACAGGGTAGTTTATTTATTGTGTGGATGATCAATGATCACTGCCTTTGTGCTTACACATATAATATGACCAGTTTTTGTAATTTCAATCCCCATGGACAGAATTCATTGTTAAAGAGCCTCTCATTCAGTACTTAAGTATTTTAAAAGGTTCAATGACACAAAACAGTATGGTTTTTACAACTGGAAAAAAAAATATGTTGTGGTATTATAGCAGGAACAATGTAAGGTAGGACATTTTTTCCCATCAGCTGAAACTTTCATAAATTCCAATAAAAAATATGAAACTGGTAAGTTCACATATTAAAAGTCAAGTCTCATTTCTTCCTTTCCTATGAATGATTACTATACAAGCTCTAACATTTGCCATAAAACCTGATATATAGGGGTATTCCATAATATAATTACTTCTATTGTACTGTATATTAACAATAGTTTTGACTCCCAGGGTTGTCTAACATGAATTTGGTTGACACATTAATACAATGGAATTTGTGCATACTTTCTCAGTTTTGCTAAAACATGTGCATCAGACCATGAAAGAACATCCTTACATAACCACTTTTTGCTTTTAGATAAAGATGCAATGCCAGTTCATCCACAATATAAAGTCAGCATATCAGTTTCCTTTGAAAAGAGGAACCTGGGTACATACAGTATTGCTGATAGAATGTAGAAACTAACAGGGTAATTTCATATTAGTTTGAGCATTTTACAGGATGGGGTGTTTTGGGGGGTTGATATTTGCATTATTTCAACATTCTTTCCTTATTTATTATCTCCTTTCTTTCCTATTATATATTCCAGATTCAATTATGAATAGGAAAGGTTGGTCTCATACCCTGATTCAATGTTCAATGTGACAGTACTTGACTAATAATAATAATAATAATAATAATAATAAACTTTATTTTATATAGCACCTTTAAAGGTGGCTTCTCAAAGCGCTTTACAGAATGACAACAACAATAAATAAGAAGAATACACAAGTTAAAACACAATTACAATATATAGAGGAGACCGTGGATGGTGGTACTAAGAAAAGCAGATGGGTTTTCTAGAGAAGAGGGTTTTGAGTCTGGACTTCAAGGAGTTTAGAGAAGGTGACTCTCTGATATCCTTGGGGAGAGAGTTCCAGAGCTTCGGGCCATTACAGAAGGCCCTGTCACCCATACAATGTAGACGGGCTTGAGGGACAGTTAGGAGACCAGAATTAGAAGAGTGAAGATTGCGAGGTGGGGAGTAGGGCGATGATAGTTCAGACAGGTACTAATGTGCCAAGCCATGCAGAGCCTTATAGATGAGGATGAGGATTTTAAAGTCTACACGGAATTTGACCGGAAGCCAGTGCAAGGACTCCAGGATATTAATAATGTGAACAGTTGCACTAGACCTGGTCAGAATTCTGGCTGCTGAATTTTGGACATACTGCAGTTTGTTCAGAGTAGATTTAGATACCCCAGCGAGTAGAGAATTACAGTAGTCAATTCGACTAAGAAACTCTGTTCCTCTTTCATTTAAATGACAAAACGTGAATTCTTCAAATAAAAAGTTCCTTCTTGTTCAGTTTATCTACAACACGCTGGTCTTTGTTTCCAAACAATAGACCTGGTGCTGTGGGTGTTGCTGCCTTTTAAACACAAGCTCCAGGGGCAATGGAAAACACCTGTAAGCAATCAATTCATTGAAACCAAGGCCCTCAGCTTCTGGCTATTTACAGTACACTTCTGGTTTGCAGGCTATAGTTGGGAACTACAAATATTATCATGGCAAGGTTAAAGGGGTATGAACGTTTCCATAACCTGGGCCCATTATATACCCTTTCTATAACCTTGCCCCTTATATTTTTACAGTATTGTTTACATAGCTGTAGGTGTTGGCCCTCTGTCTGGGTGTTTCGTTCTTTCTTAAAATTAAGCTTCTAAACTTCAAAACAATTTTATTGTTTTAAAACTTGAAAAACTGAGCACATTGGTACCATTGTATTGCTTCTGAAAGACTAAACTAAACATCTCTAAATTTTCTTTCAGAGAGTGTGGTGCTGGAACATTTGTGAACTTTGCCTCATTTGAAAGAGATGGAAAGCTGCCTTATAACTGGTAGGAACATGTTGCCAATGCATATTACCAATGTTAGCTTTTTAGAAAATTAGCCTCGGCCTTCACCATGCTCTGAAGCACATATAGATTAAACTAACCTAATATTCACTTTTTTCAGTTCTTAAGAGATGCTAGAGCTTGCCCTATTTAGTTTCCCGAGTTCCCTGACTTTTGAGGAAAAAAAAACACTTGGAAAGGTTCTATGATTCTATAATCAAGTTACTTGCTATATTAATTAAGGATTCAATTATGTAATGAGTACAGCTGGAACAAAATCCAGCACTTTTTTTCTCCTTAGAACGAGAGGTGGTTTGTTTATTACATTTCAGTGGTGTTTTACTGAGAAACTGTATGCCTTGGAGTGTCCACATATTCAGCGCAAACTAAGAGTATGCAGGCCATACGGTGCAATATTGCTGTGACCACAGTGGCTGTGGAACTACAATTTCTTTTGGGGGGAAGATAAGCAGATTAACTACAATTCCAAAAACGTAGAGTCTTATACTTTGTTTCAGTTAACACTCAAGAAAGCTAGACTGAAGGATCTCGACTCGCTCAGTTCTTGTGAAAGACTTTATCGTTAACTGAAAGACACTTACAGTATGAAAGCCTCCGTAATTTGTGGTTGCACTATCTCTGTGCACAGCCATATTTTATTGCCATACATCTTTCATAAGCCCTAAATATTTATAAACAAATGAAAGAAGCAGTAGGATAAAATGCTGAGTAGCTTTGCGGTAAGTCCACTTTGACTCATCAGATTCAGAAAAACCTTTCATTTCTCAGTGTAAACAAAATGAATTAATCGAAGTATATCCTATTGCAGTGCTGCAGACACAATGAATAACACCAAAAATATCATAAGGAAAGAAGGAGGAAAGATAATCTAGGAAAAAAGATCAACAACATTCAAGCTGCATGTCTTTGTATTAACCACTATTGACCAACTAACTTTGTTCTTGGGCACTGTCATTGACAAGTACTAACTGAGCACAACTTTGTCCCTACCTGTACCTGTTTTTAATTCTTCAGGCGAAGGAGCATTTTTGCCCTCCTTACACTTCTACCATCCTGCCTTTGGACTGATTATCTTTTGGCTTTTTATTTTAATCCTTGGTAAGTAGCACTTTGTCTTGCTTCCAGACACCCACGCCATTTTAATGGAACAGATCTATGAAGAAAAAAATCTCCTGTCACTCTCCTTCCTTGTGTGCTCTAAGGTCACATTAGCTTTGCCAAGAGCTGTCGGTAGCATTCACAAAGCTTTTAGCACTGCACTGAGCTTGCGTAAGTTGTCAATAAATACAAAATCAAGCTGCTGAATTTTAACACTAACAAGAAAACACTAATAAGAATGTGAGAGCTCTTGCTTTAATCTCATATGGTGCTTGTGAGGCATTACAATGTAACTTTTTTTTTAATTCAGATACAGACTGATATATTATGTCAAAACACATTTATAATCAACGATTAACCCATGAACAGGTAATATAGTGCTGCAACATAATGTGTTAAGCTCCCAAACCAGAGGGATATTGGGTAAAAGCCTTCAGAGACAAATAATCCACTAGAATTGATTCTTGACATGTGGAGTGTATTCTGTGCTTATTCTTATCCTTGATGTAGTTCCTCATTTACAATGTAGACATACATTGTTTAGAGTGTTTAGCATAGATCCTTCTTCTCATTTATATAGTGCTCAAGGGTGCAATCTCTCAAATTGAGGCAGATATGGAACAGTGACTCACGCTGGCCAGGTATGGCTGATTTGTACAGACACTGACTGCCAATCTACCCATGGGGAGTCTCTTTATTAGCACAGTGTACAAGTATGTCTTCATCTTAGATATTTACTGTAGTAAATTCTAAAAGAAATCTGATTAAAGTGCAAAAGCATTAAATGGTTATACAGTAATTACATGCTGTATATGATGGGCTAAAGAATCATCTTCTGTTCTTAATTGAAGGGGCAACACTGCGTTGAAGAAAAAGAAGCTAACAAAGTAAGATTTGTATCTAATTTTATTCATGCATTCATGAAGAAAATTTTATATAGCTGTTTTTTGTGAATTATCAGTGTCTTATCAATTTTTGTGTGGCGGGTAAGCAAAGTGATTTTTTTTTTTAGTCATGTTGAGCTCATTGGTCCTGCTTTCTTTTCATTGTAATGTGCTTAGCATTAAAATGCAATACTAGTTTTAATTGCAGCATTTGATGAATTAGTACAAAAAGCCAAAAGAAAAAATGTTCACCACGGATATAAAATGCAGAAAACACTTGGTATGGAAGTTAAAAAAAAATCCGAGAATAAAAATTAAAATGGTTTGATGGAATGGATGCTTTCTGTAACACGTTCCACACATAGCTGGTTTTATGTTTTCATTTCTTTGCACATTCCACTAACAGATGTTTTTAGAGAAAATAGTCTTTCAATTTCTGATATGTTGTTGGAACTTGTAATATTAACTACTTTCTTTGCAGTATTTTAAATTGCATTGGTGTATTTATTGTTTCTCTAAAATAAAACATTTTGAATATATTGAGATGATGGATTCAGATTATTTAAATGCTCAACAGCAGCAAAAAATCGAAAATAATGTTTCACCTCATAGAGTTTTTAAGGAAAGGTCAAGAAGGATCATAGCAACCAAGGTGTGTCTCATCTCTGCATCTCATAATTGTCCATGACATCATTTCCTAAAGAAATAGGAAATTGTAAACCATTGTAAAGTTCTGCATTCCTACTTCAGTCAGTCAAGTTTCTATTTCAGTTAACTTCTCTGTATGAAGATCCTGTCTCCCTCATACTCAGCCAGTGGTTGTCCCATCTTTAACATTCCTAAACTTTGAGTCATGCTATTATTCCCTGTGACATTATTTAAATCCTCAAAGAGCAATGAAACAATGAAATGATTTCTCACTTAATGATTGTGGAATACCCTGTAAACTAAAAGCTTTATTATAAAATCTGAGGGAAAATAAACACCATTATCTTATCTCCATCTCTAGCCCTGTCCAATTAGACGATTTTGATGCATATGTCAAAGATATGAGCAAGGACTCTGCTTACAAATTCTCTCTGCAGTTTGAGGTAAGAGGAAAAACTTCAAGAGTCAAAACTGAAATAATAATTTTATCCTCTCATTGTCTCGGAGGAAACGATAACACGTAGTTTGTAGATTGGAAATATTGTTAAAATCAGATTACATTATGTCTTGGGAATAAAGGATCAAGCAGAAAGTTTACCTGGTGAAGTCCTTGTTAATCCATCTGACTGCTCGAGAATACTAAGGCATGAATAGAGGTTTTGTAGAAAGTCTTCAGAATAATTTCCAGCTCTTGCTGTGTGAAGAATGAAGGGGAGGACAGCAGAAAGAAGACCAATCAAGAAAACATTTATTGTGAAAGAAAACATTTTTAGTTTTGGTCTGTTTCTAAGTATGATGGCATTTTTTTATAATGCCACTATTTGTTCTTCTGTAACAATATGTACTTGAACAGGAGACGGAACTAAATTATTTTCCAAACTGTCTTCTTGATCACAATGAATCAAATATGACATGTCTGCTTTATAAAAACAAGACAGAAAATACAATGTGAGTTTTAAAAAAATATTGTAGAGGAAAAAATGTCACTTTGATGCATTTCTTTCAAAGTGTCTTTGAAAATTAAAGCCAACTGTAACTTTAATTGAAAACCTCCAATTACAATATATACTGTAAATGGAGACAATGAAACACGAATTTGGTACTGTATATAAAAGGATTAATGTTACGCCTGAAGAAAGATATAATTGAGATATAATTGTCCTGCTAATGTCAGAAAAACAATCTTAGAAGGGAAAACAGGTGATTGATTCCAAGGTGAGATACAGGTATCCTGTTTCTGTTCCCAGGATCTCAAAAGTGTAGGACTTGACATCTCCCATGAAGCAGCTGATTTGCCAGTGAACAGAGCAAAAAACCGCTATACAAATATCCTGCCTTGTGAGTTGGAACATCTCACTTCACAAAAACATATTCAACTTGAATATTGTGTGATTCTCAATATTAATGTTAATCTTAGTGTTCATAAATTTAAACTCTACTTCCACTTTATCAAAATAGAATTTCTCAATAGTATTTCTTCAATAATTTTTATTGAAGTTTGCATTCATTTAAAAAGTTGTGATTCATTCTAGTGAAAACATTTTTAGTACAAACTTCTGTTGTAATTTGATGTATTAATGTGTTAACCATAACTAGGTATTTCAAGTGCACAGATGAAACAAGTACTATAGCATACTGCTTGTAGTTTTGTAACAGATTATTGGTCATTATTGGGTTAAAATACATGAGTTACAAAATTGGATATAATTGTATTGGATGAATTTAATAATGTTATTTCTTTGTCAAATGTTTAGGCATTTATACTCTCCAGTGGAGGACATATTTAGTGACATTAAGTGTTTTATGAACAGATTGATGGTGTGTGCTGAAAATGTAGTAATATTCCCTGTCATATTTCTTTCATTTACAGATGACTTTAGCAGAGTGAAACTAATATCTATGCACAACGATGAAGGATCCGATTACATCAATGCAAATTATATACCAGTATGTGTCATCAAAATATGGTTCTATCTCTTTACCTCTGTGACAGATTGTGCTAAACATTGTACAACAAGATACAGCACGATTATATTAGGAAAGTCTAAAAATCCATTGATTAACTGGGAAGAACAGGAGTTTTGTTTATTACGATACTGACCTCTGCTGTTCCTTTCTGAGTATTTCTGATATTTTTTTTTTACTTATAGTGTCATTGTAATAATTGAGAGTAAAAACAGAGTTTTTAAACAAAACACATTTTGTTTTGACACGAGTGAAACACAGTGCTTACAAAGTTCACTTAAAACAAAAACCACAGCATTACAAATTGTTTTAGACATTATGGTTTTAAAGCCAGGGAATGCCATAACAGACACCTACAGTATATCATACTACAGAGATATACAACTTATCATGCAGAGGCAGATCTGAGAGGCAAGGCACCAAGCAGCAACAGAGCAATGTATCGTAGAGCATATGTACAAATAAAATATCAAAATATGTTTTCATACAGAAATCTGGAATCATTCAATTTAACTTTCAAGAAGGCATATAAACCTCTTCTCTTTCACTTTCACTATATATATTATATATAAAATATATAGTCAGTTTTTCTCATCCAGTAAAAACTATAACAAAATATTGATTTTCATATGAGTATCATTACTAACATTAGTACTGTAGCCCTCAAATATCAAGAGCACGGGTATTATCTAATTTCCTTGTTCATTATCTTATGTCCTTGCCTCATATTTTGTGTTGTCCCTCTGGCTTGGGGAAAATGGTCCGGCAATCAACAGTTTAGCACCGATATTCCTAGGGGTCTCGTCTGGTTGGCTTGTTCCTCAATAAATCCTGCTGAATATATACAAATCTTGTGCTTTAGTGGTGCATTGTTACAGTAAATAGTACATTTTTTGTCCCATTCCCTGGCTTTGCCCTCTCAGGGTTACAGGTCTCCACGTGAATATATTGCAACACAGGGGCCACTGCCAGAGACAAAGAATGACTTCTGGAAGATGGTCCTGCAGCAGAAATCCCACATCATTGTCATGCTGACACAGTGCAATGAACGGAGAAGAGTAAGTCCCTTTATCTTCCTTCAGGTTTAAGGGTATGTGATCAACCCCTGAGATCAGCTGTTGTGAGCAGGACAAACTCTCATTCTGAGGGAGCTGGTGTTTTGTGAAATGTGTTCTACAAATGAAGAAGTATACATTTTTGATAATAGACATGACTGCTGAGGAATATGATAGACCCTTGTCGTCTGTGATTGAGGAGGCTATAACAAGATTATGAAGGGCATGAATACGTATTGTTAATTGTTGTTGTTGCAGGTTAAATGTGACCATTACTGGCCATTTACAGAGGAACCTGTTACTTATGGAGAAATCACTGTTGAAATCACCTCTGAAAAGGAAGCCACTGAATGGACTGTGAGAAATTTTAGACTTGGCTATGTAAGTATTAGTTAAACATCAATGATCCTTTGTAGTTTTTATGGTAACTCAGGATTGCCAGTGTGTGAGGTAAACTGAGAGACACCAAGACAGGCACTCCCAAGAGCTCTGTGTCACTCACGGAAGGAAATTCTAATAGTTCTTGAGATTTTTAAACATTAATCATTTCTTCTTGACTTTTATTAATAAAAACATTAATAAGGTTGATATTATGTTCCTACGTTTACTCATGTTTTTGTATTCCATTATAAATACTTTTTCCTTTTGCAGCATGCCAGTCAGATCTAGAGGTGTACAGAGAGAATATTAAAGTAATCAGATAAGATTTAATATTTGGATTCACTAAGTGATTTGCTGGTTTGTTTTAATTGTGTTTTTTGTATGTAAGAAAGCATAGAAGTAAATAAATAATTGTGAAGCACTTTTCACTTATACTACTGTAGATATTATTAACTCTAAGTGTATAATCTCTTTGAGAAATCTTTTTGTATTGCTAGCAATCTAGCATTAACAATATAGTTTTGCAATATACTAAAATAACTGAAAAGTGTTATCTCTTACGTCTGTTTTACTTTTATTTTAACAATACAAAAATATATTTTATCATACAGTGTTTAGTATGTAATATACTCACCTTTAAGAACATCTGAGCAGCTCAGTTAGGGTATATGATTATAACATATATGATTATCAGAAATTGTTTTTGTTGGCACTACTGTATATAGTAAATTCTTCATTAAAATCTTACACATCATGTTATCTCTCACAGCACAGAACTGAATGGTGCTAAAGGGATTTCTGAACTGAAGGGCATTAACAGTATTTTGAATCTCTTATGATTTGAAAGAAAAAAAACGAATTGCTTCAATGCACATTTTTTAAATTTTTTTTGTCCAAAATAAAATGAAGAAAAAGATCCTTAAAATATGCAAATGTTCTTTAAAGTTTTGGGAAAATGTGAAGGGATGCAAGCACACAGTTTTTTTCTTGGAAATGTAATATCATTTTGTATTTTTCATGTTTGATATGTACAGTATATAATCTAATAAACCTTTTCAGACTGGCATGGTATCAAATAAATACATTGTAGACTAGAGTGTAGTAGCAAAACAATATTAAGAGGAGGGTGCATTAAGTAATGGAATGAGTCATCACTACTAATGCTACTTTGATGAGTGTTTATAAAAGAGAGCCTGTAGGATACATTGTACTAGTAATGTTTATTTACATTAATTTCCTGATTTCTCTGCAGGCTGATGAGACACAAGACGTCTTGCATTTAAATTATACATCCTGGCCTGATCACGGAGTTCCAACAGTCAATGCTGCTGAGAGCATTCTGCAGTTTGTGCAAATTGTCAGGCATCGAGCAGCAAGGAGTAAAGGACCCATAATAGTGCACTGCAGGTAAGGTGACATTAGAGGTATGAAATTGCAGAGAGCCATTGCCGTTTCAGTATCGGTCTTTTGAAATATGGCACATTTTCTGGATTATGCAAAGCTTTAATGCAACCAAAAGGACTGCACGCTTGTCAGTCAGCCTTAGGGAACTTTAATTGAGCACTGTTATACAGTAAAATCTCAATATTTATGACTTTTACATTTGCAATTTTGCCTATAAGCTCAAAAGTATTAATGTCATCTGTATCTGCATTCGCTGACCAAAATTGTCATTCATGGGTTGTGCAGTATGGGCATAAATGCAGGCACCCACTTGTGCACCTACATTTCAGAGATCTACTTCACCTCACCTGCATTTGTCTCTACAGTAAAGGCATACAGTAGCTTGGTTAACAAAGAGTTAAGTTGTTTATGGGTTATGCTTTAGTTATTCCGTTACTGTCAGGAAAGCATTTGATGTGTGTTATATGTAGACCTGTTATGAGAGTAATGCTCATTAATGTGAGCGATGTAATATGAAATTAAAGAAACGTTAAACTGTTCCTGAAGTTTTCATAGTCTCAGTTCTCGCATGTATCGTGGAAAAGGTTAAAAAATGTTATTTAGAACTAAAAATGCTGAAGCAAGAGCATAAATACCATTAATAACATGGTTAATGGGACTAACCCCTGCTCTCCCCACCTGCAGGATATTTGAGTAAATCAGGAGTTTTGCTTATTAATTCAGTAATTAAATTGGACATATATTTTGACATTTTTGATCTGGTAATAAGGTTTGATGCAGATTTGATGGGGAAAAAATTAATATAATGTTATTTTAATGTGTTGAAGGTAGTTTATTTGTATATGCTTGTAGACAAAATTATTTAGTGGAAGTCGAATTCTAATCTCTCACTTCTGCATCCACACTCATAAAACACCCTTACTGCATGTGACACTGAACACTTCTTTTCTAGTACTCAGCATTTCGCTTCATTGCTGACAGACCTGTTTTGCACTCTTTCGTGCTGCTGGAACCTTACTGTTATTGCGTTCCTCTTCTGTGAAGAACGGAGTCACTTTCTCGCCTCTTCAGCATCGACCCTTCAGGGAAACAAGTGGCTCTGCTACCACAAAGTCACCTGCATTTTTCTTTCAGTGCTCCTGATGTCGCCAAGCTTTCCAGACGCTGTGAACTTCTGCAGTAGTTTTATCTCTCCTTTCCCTTTCCTTCTCTCTCTTCTCTCGCTCCATTCTTCTTCCCTCTTTCTTTCCCGTTTCTGGTTGAGGGTCAAAGCCACTGCACATACAGCTCCAGCCTATTCCATCTCTTTCCTTTCCCCTATTCCTTTTTTTACTGTTCCCCCTAGGAGCTCCTGGTCGCTGGTTCCCACTCCTCCCTACAGGTCCGAGAACAATGCGACAGTCGGCCTCCTTGTTCACAGATCTTGCGCACTCTTGCACTCAGACCAAGGTTGCTAAAGTGATGAGTCCCCCCTCACCTATTTATCTCCACCAGGTCTAGTGTCTAGTTGGTATATGTGTTAGCCCTCGACTCTTCTCTCTCTTAAAGCTTTCAGCCACAGATGTGGCTGATATTTCTTGTTTGGGGGTGGTTCAGCTCGGAATGCATTCTCATCTGTTCTGTCCAGCAAGCGGTCACTGTCTTCCAGTTTCCGGGTCACTGCAATGTTTGCTGCTGCCCACCACAGAATTCTGTTTTCAAGCTAGCCTCGCTAGGTCCTGCTAATGGCTGCTATAGTGTTGCCAAATGTTCGCCAGCTCACCTTTTGTCACCCTAATCATACGTGCTTCTCATGCACTGCGTATACGAATCGACTCCTTCAAACAAGCTGAAGCCCTCATCCTACACTCTTCTTGTTCATTCCACGCTACACACACGTTCTTCTCGTTCCGGTGAAACTGGAGCAGAACTGACTTGCATTTAGCTCAGTATTCGAAATGTGCGCTGGTGTTTTGTGGATTCTTTTGTGGGGATGTGATAGCACTGATCTCCAAACAGCAGTGTCATCTCCTCAGCCAGGTGAGTTAAAGTTTTAACTACGCCACCTCTTTTGTCACGGTTATAAAACTGTGGAAGACTCCATCAGCGGCTTGACTTGACTTCCTCTCACCTGCTGGTTGCTGCTGCTCAGCAATTAAGGTTGATATAAATAAGAAGAGAATTAAAGTGTGCTGCTTCTTCTACTTTTTTTTAATCTTCTTTTATGATATAGCATAAAAACACATGGAGGAAGGCAAGGGGGAGAGTAAATCAGAATCAAAACTCACCCTAATCATCTGGTTTGTTCATTGCAAAAACATTTTATAAATGCTGAATTATATTCACGTGCTTTGCAAACTTCTGAAGTTGACCACGATCAATGTTTTGTAAGAAACAAATGAAATGCTAATGTAAATGGTAATGTCTCTTTTTGCAGTGCTGGTGTGGGACGAACAGGAACTTTCATAGCTCTAGATCGTCTAATGCAGCACATACAAGAACATGAGTATGTAGATATTCTGGGACTTGTGTCAGAGATGCGATCTCACAGACTCTCAATGGTCCAAACAGAGGTAAATCTGCCTGCTCCTGGCCCAGAGTAACTTTTCTTTAATCCATGCTGGTAACAGGTTGAAATGTTATATTTTAATGCAATTTACCTACTGTGCCTTTGCAGGAGCAGTATATTTTCATCCATCAGTGTGTTCAGCTGATGTGGAAAAAGAAGAAGCAGCAGATCAGTGCTGGTGACATCATATATGAGAATGTCAGCAAATCCTAAATGTGGTATCTTACAGCGTATGTATCAAGCAATGTCGATATATATGCATATGTATATATGTAATTAGAGTAGTTTAGTAAGAAACTACTTACACTGAAGGATAAGAAATTAAAGGGAAACTGCAACACTATTTTTACGTTTCGGGGTTAAAATGAATTGGCATTAATGAGTGCATTTCAAACCACAATGAAACTACCAAGTACATGGTTACATGTACAACCTCCAAGATACACTACAAATAGACGAAGTTTCAATGTATGCATAGCGACATATTGTCATCATAGCCTGTGATTCAGAAGGAGGCAACAAAACCTCCAGTGACACAAAAGCGACCCTATTACATTGGAGACGTGCTTTAGGCCAGGTGAATGTTGCTACCGTATAAATATTAAATATTTTCATGAAACTGACACATACAAGCTGACAATTTTTCAATGCTTTATCTAAGTATTGCAAAAACGAGCAACCTGCCAACCAACTAAAATATACTCAGAATCATTATCTAGTTATGCAAACTCGCTCTATCATTTACATTGGTGGTAATTGTATGGTAAATCACACCTAAAAGAAATTCCAGGAATATCTTTGGAGGACTTGCTGCACCGTAGCCTGTGCTGTCACCTAAACAGATGATTTGAATGAGTGTGATTGAATTTAATTCATATCGATTTGAGACAGTTTTACCAACAAATACTATTTACTTGTTAACTCAGCATGCAGATCATGTTTGACCACTTGTGGGGTGAAATGTCTGCTACACAATGTGTACTTATTTGATTGTACATCATGCTGAATCACATTGAGCATGGCGGTGGAACCAACATCAGTGCCCATGCTTATTACTCATCTCTTGGCTAGTTGACAATCCCTTGGAGAGGGAGACAGTTTGACTTTCTGCTGATTCGATTCTCTGTTTTGTGTGCAACCACTATGATCTGGACAGCCAAATGCTCGACAATGAGGCTTCATTAAAAATAGTTGAAGTAGGTACTGTAGCTGCATCAGCATGCATAGGTTGCAAAGGAACAAGTTAAGGTTTATTCCACGCTGAAAAGAGAAGACAAGAAAACACTTCTACTGTTTAGCTGTTATAAGGGAGGAGTTTCTTACATTGCACTCTTTTTCTCTTTTCTCTCTTGTAGATTTAAATGGTTCACCTGCCTTCCCTTGCTTCAGGCTTTACTGTTCGCTTTCAGCCAAGAAAGGTTTTTTTGTTCCAACTGCCATTAATGCCAAAAACAAGAAACCAACAACAAAGAGACAAGAGACTTTTTGTTTGGAGTTGTGGAAGCACTGGAAGGAGCTTTGCCTTAAAGAACCTGACTTGACCATGTTGTACTCGTCCCGCTCCTCCTGTTCTCCTCAGTGCTGGACCAAATAGTTGCCTACAAGGAAGAGAACGATGATCAAGATGGTCAACAACTCACCACTTGTTTAGCGCAACACCTGCCCTTCCAGTAGTAGTGACGTTGCCTTCATCTTCTGAAAATCAAAAAGGGCAATAAGTTATCTCTTTACATACAAGTTGAATAGGAAGTGATTACTGTTAAGGAGGTTTGTTTAGTAGTATGAACAGATTATAATTAGTTACCTTATCTCAGGATTAGTTTAACAATTTTAAAATGTAGTTTCTAGGTTGTAATATGATCATTTAAACAATATGGATGACCTTTTCACACATTAACCTAATTTCACAAACTAGGTTTAGTAGTCACATATTTTGTGATACAGTATACTGTCATTGTACAATGGAGTGGGATGCTTAGTGTGACATGAACAGGCGAAGGAATAACACTGCCACCGAAGTATAGTGGAAACTTATATTCCATAAGGCACAGCAACATGTACTGTATAGATACTGTAAGAATTATATAATGTTGTAGATAGTCTGGGATATTGATGGTGCACTTAGTCTCCTCGAGAAGCTAAACAGTTATGTCTGTTGCCAAATTGCCTTGTCAGTTGCATAGCATGACGACTGCATTGGTGTGCCAAATATAGTTTGACATGAACGACAAACAAATGAACATAGTTCAGTATAACTCGCATGTTCAGAATCTGTGGCAAGTAAACTTTTGATTTGGCAGGTTTTACATGTCAAAAGATCAACTGGAAAGGATGCTGGATAGGCGGAACTAAGCAACTGTTTAAATTAAAGCTACATTCTCCCAAGCTGAACTGGGATACCAGTGAGAATATGTTTAATTCTACTGAGCATCTGTGTTTTTCTCTGTGTATGTTTTGGAGTTCTTGGGATTTATCGTATGTTGTTGATGTGAATCTAGAGACACCCATGTATACCTTTAAAAGTTCGGTTTACACTATTTCTGGTGCTTTTGGGACAAAGAACTAGCAGGACAGAAAGCACTGCAGCATTTTAGGTCTCTTCAGATGGTGTCTTACTACTAGGATATGCACGCACAAACAACACTACTCTAAAAATGAATCATTTAAACGTATAAAATATTAAGTTTTCTTATTTTACAGGCCCTTTCCGTACTTTGCTGTGTGAAAGAAGGCAGATTGAGAGTGCGTGTTCCTCTTATGTATCAATGAAGCCAACAGCAGATGTGGCTAATGTCATTTTGGAGAGCCTCAAGGGCTTACAAACAGTGGTTGGCAGATAAATAAAACACCAACAGGAAGCACAGCAATATTTTGCTGGACCAAAGGGACAGAGTACATATTTAGAGAAGGAGAAAAAAGTTAAGACTTGGGAAAAATTACTCAATTCATCATTGGCTGGAAGATATGTTTGTAGTACTAATAAACGAGCCAGCTCATAAAAGAAAGCCCATAAAGTAATTAGGATGATAATGCCACTGTACACGGAGGCAGAATTGCAAAAGGCCCTGGACCATCACGTCAGACATATTTCAGAGCTACCTAGACTGTGCCATTTTCTGGTGGTCACATCTGTCCACAGACATCAGACAAGTGGGCATCTTGTATCACTGCTCCCCCAAGTGGGAGCAGCTGCTGGCCATAAGCTTATAAGAGCATTCCCAAGCTGCTGTAAGAGATGAGAAGTGAGCCAAATTCCTGGTGCTTTGAGTCCCTCTAGCAGTGACTTAGCAAATATTGTGTGTCACAATATTCACCCTATAGTAGTTTAGATTGCTGCTCAATCCCATTAGCATTCAGCAATTTGTGCAAGGCAGGTATCATCATTGTCTGTGGTGAAAGTGGGAGATATACATACAGAAGTGAAACTGATGTTTTACCTGAAGGAAAATGGGAAAGTGAAACCACATGATGAGAGTACAGAACCCCTCCAGAAAGTGAAAATGTTTCATACCTCCTGCCACATGGATGCCCTGTCCATGAAAAATGCTATTGCTTGAAGTGGTGCTGATCTCTGAACTCCACTCGCCTTTTCAGTTCTTGTTCATAGTACACACGCCAGGGCATACTGTTTTTTTTTAGTTATGGGCCACTTTGGGATTTTCTAGCACAGCCTTTCTTAATATCCGCTATAAGCCAGGTGCACAACACCCATTTCTCATAACTTTTTAAACCTCTGTGGTACTGTTCATGCTTTAAAATGCCCCTTGTAATCTTTCTAATGCAATTATTACATAAAGCAGCATGGAATAGTTGTTAGACCTCTGTAACTACTAGATTACTAGGTAGCTCTTCAGTTTGAATGCTGTTGCTGTATTCTTGAGTGATGTACAGAGTTTAGCTATATGAATGGGTTGCAGCATTGCTAGGGGTTTACCTACAAAACTAGAAACATTGGTTTAAAATCCTGAATAACCCCAGCCCTAATTAGTTTTGTTGAGGATATTTAATTTTTAACCAGTATAAAATACAGAAATATAGGCTTAAAAAATGTTATCATTTTTTATTGCCTGTATGAGCAGTTTTACATGATCTATTATCTGAAACTATCCTATAAATTATCATTCACCTCTCAAAACAGAGAAAGATAAATATGAATTCTCTGGAGATACACAGCAAAAAGGCTGTTTTGGAGTGCTGTCTTGACTTTTTGTCCTTCAGGTCTGGTATTATTTATGGTGTCTGGATAAAGAATGCTAAAAAATGTCAGATGCTAATGTTAAACTGAAAGATTGTACTGTAGGCATTTCTTCCCACTGTTTATGTGTAATTTCTTCTGGGTCGAGAATTCAGTGGTGCTTAAGAAACATCCATTTGTTTACTCAGACCATAAAGAGAGATAGCTGTATACTGTACAGGTAGGTACACTTTTCACAGTTCTCCCTACTCGTGTGTCAGATTCCAACTGTATTTGTTGTTGGTGCCATTCTTGTGCATTTTGTCACTGGAAAGATATCTACTGCTTTAAACAGTAGAAATGGTTGCTTTTCACAAAGTTTTAACGTGTTCTTTAAAAAAAAATAAACGTTTGAATATCATTCTTATGAAAAAATAATGTTTTTTTTCTACTAAGATATTGAATGTTTCAGTAATATTTTTATATTACTATAGTGAAAAGGCTTGGAGACAGAAATCATGGAGAAGCAACAAACTAGAGAATATAATCTGTTATCCATGGTTAGAGACAAGTCCTTGGCAAGCTAATTTTTTGACATCTCTACACATAGAACCACTTTTATTAACAGTCTGATGAAACTGATGAAGACTCTTAGGTCCAGCAGGACCCAAACATGGCTTCCTTTTTATTCTCTTAAAATTGATTAAGATTATTTTTGAGAAAAGAAGTTTTATGATACTACACTGTTAAGACAGTTTAACAATTTAACAGATTACACATCTTCAGTTTTCTCATACAGTTATGGATAAAGGCTTTAACATCTATCCTTTGTATGCAAATGTTATTTTTAACTCCAGTTTTGTTACCAATATCAAATCAATGTTCAGAACATGCTCAAGTAATCAAGTGAACATTTTTTAACTTTTTCAAAAATATGTTTATTTTTTGTATGTTTGGATTTGCATTCGTTTTTTAAATCGAAACTTTTCATACATATTAAAGTACCCCTTTGTAGTCCAATTACTCGAATTGTTCCTATTGACCAAGTCACTAAAAATGTGGTCAGTTCTATATTTTCTAGTCATCACTGTCTCCAGGCCTTGGGGTTGACTATTAGGGTAGTCTTTTACTAGTGTGAAAAACCTAGGGTTCATCACCACACTTATTAAACGTAATAAAAATCCATTACATTTCAATGTAGTACGTGATGAAGCCAACATCAATATAATGGTTCTTTTACAACGTTTTCTTCTTAATAATAAAAAAAAAACATTTTTAGAATAGTGTTTATTGCAGAATTTCAGCAGGATCATATGAAAAAGGCACCATGAAAACTATACAGGTACAATTATGTATTATACTACATGTGCTGAATTGTTTCCTCAAATATACATTTACAGTATGTAACTCATACAACATTAAGACTACAATTGCACATCTTTTTAGAGGGGGGCAGGACAACACAAAATAGCAACCTATTCTTTCAAAATATTTTCTAAATTTGTTAACTTTTTAAATTGTTAAAAATTTAAATAAGAGAAAGCTGTCCACTCAAACAAGGTGTATTTTGTTTCAAGACAAAAGCACAAAATACAAGAATAACAAAAATAAGTATGGCAAGAAAACAACTTTGAAAGTCTTAGGAAAACAGATAAAGTAACAGTAAGAGTTCTAAATGTACACTTTGTGGTTAGGTTTCCTAGAAACTGAAAAATAATTCAGACAACATCCGATGAATGCATCCACTATTATGGAAGGAATGGGGAGAGTCTGTAAGAACAGTAAACATGAGCACTATCAACTCTCAAAGGATAACTAGAAACCTTCATTTTCTCAATTATGTACTGGCAGTGTATTTGCGTCTAAAACAAAAGTCACTGAACATTATGCAATGTACACTGGTGTACTATGAAAGAATGGGTCTGTTTTAATCATTGGGTACAGTCTTTGTGATATAATTTCAATTTTGCAGTGATTAATACATGCTTGATAAACTAAGCACACTTAAAATTGAAAGATCTGGTAACGTTTTAGGCAATTAGCTAAATAATGTGAGTCAAACAAACACAAATACTTTATCTTGACATCTAAGGAGGAGTTCTTTTTAAACCAAGGTCAAGAATAACTTTCAAAACTGGACTAGTATTGGCTAGGACAGAAGCAATGACCTATCCACTGGCACAAACCAGATGCTATTACTCAGTAAAAAAATGTAGCACATCTAGCAAACACTTAAATCAAATATTGCTAGGTCACATCAAAGTGCTATGTACTGTATGTGGACATGAATATAAAGCAATCATGAAGGAACTAACCAGGCCCACTGCTAATAGCCGCATGCCACCAACAACACATGAAAACAAAGTAACTACAACTGGGGCAGAACCTGGTTACAAAAAGCCTTAAAATATTGTTTAGCCTAGAATAAATATATTAAACTAACTTTGGTTTTAAGATTAGAAGGCTGTATTTAAAACATTTTTTTTCTTTACTTTTTACTTCATGTTATTGAATCGCCAGGCATTTTGAATTCATAACCTTTTTTCAAACTTAAAAAGTTTTGGGGGTACTTACTGTATGTGCTCAGACTTTTTTTTCAGTCATTATCTTGGAGTATAACAGTAACATAACACTCTCTTGAAAATATTTTATAGAGTATATGGTATGAAGGGAAACCATTATATTGTACAAAATACCCTTATGAACTGTTTCCTAAAAGAAACTGACAACCCAATTAATGCATATATTTCCAAGAAATGTTAAATTGTAACAGCAGAAGCCTTTGGATAAACATACCTATTACTAAAACATTATACAGTGTTGCTTTCTTGCTTTACAGTATATTCAGAAAAATATGCAATTCCTCCACATTGATACATTTTAAAACCACTTCCTTGTTTTCATTCAGAGGCCTTCCTGTGAATAGCAATGATTAATATGCAAACACAGCATATATGAGTACTTGAGAAGCTTGAAAAAATAATCTTGAATGTTTCATATAACTATTTTTATCACCGCACTTACTTTATTCCAATAGCATTACTTGTAGGTAGAGACAGTTATACTGAATGTACATTTTACAAATATCCACAGTAGTGTAATTTTCTTTTGTACACCACACCTTATATAATATAGAATAAATACTGTAAATGTTCAACATAATATCCATTACATTTAATAACTACTTTAATTATTGAAAGGTCACTAAAATCTCCTGAAATTGTATCAAATGTTTTGAATGAAAAAAACATTGTATTACATATGGAAGGAAATCGCACAACAACACTGTTTATGTTTTGCAATCTGTTCATTTAGTTTTCTTCGTTAAATATTTTTTTTAACATTCCCAGAACATAAAAAAACTGATATATTAGCAATTATTCAACCTATAGATGGTAACATTTCTTAATATGAAATCTATAAAGACTAATCTTTCTTCTTATATGCATCTGACCAATCTCTACTTAAATACTGTCAGTGCGGAGGTATCTTTGATCAAAATAACTTCCAATGATTGTTCTTTCTTCTTTTTTTTTTACAATAACTTCAGTAATCAGATTTCAGATAATGTCTTTTGAATTACAGTAAACCCTGGGATTTCTGATATTACAGTACTAATGCCTCGTTGTAAGAACAGGCAAACTGTTCTTTGTGTGCAGTGATGTCTTAACGTAAGATGGATGGGGCTTAAAACCATCTCGTATAAAATAACATTCACAATGCAGCTGAAGAATCCTTTAGATGTTTCTTCAGAAAGAACAATCCTAATCTTTGGACATTATGAAGATGAAAGCAGGTCCCCAGAAGATGAGGCAAAAAGGAACAACTTTGCCTTACTGTAAAAGTATATTGTGAAAAAAGAGTAAGATAAAGTTTTTTTGAAATGTCAGACCAGCATGATTTGTAGAAATAAGTGAAAATATGGAGGCTTGTGGTCAGTATAACTTATAAAGATATTTTACCAGATAAAATGCTCAGCCCAGTGAAATTTCAATAATACGAACATTGCAAAACGTGATTCTGCCAGATGTCCAGTCTGACACTACGAAATGCCTACTATCCTCAAGCTTAAATTGTCACACTATAGATAAATGCAAACCTTTCCTTCTTCGTCTAGTTGTCTACATCTTCACATTATAGCACAAGATCGTTACACGAGAGTATTTGTGATAATTATTAGGGTGATGAAACAGTCAAGGAAATCAGCCAAACTAGGAAAGAAAAGTGTAAGAAACGTTTCCTAGGAACTCAGGAAAATAAAAGTCTATATTGCATCTATAAAAAATAAAGCAGGCACTATCTAAAGGACTTGTGAAACTAAGGTGTCTCCTGTCAAATATATTTAATTTTTTTCCATCAGTCATTTTAAAAAAGAAAAAACACTACATCATTGCCCCACACCCTCCCCAAGTCTGCTTAAATTTACAATTAGTATTAATTTGGCAATTCTTAAAATAAAATTAAACCAAATAAGTACATTCATTAATGCATATACATAAATATAATCTTCTTTTTGCCAAAGGACAAAATGAAAACAATAACTATCTTTTACAATCAATTATTCACACTCAATACCCTAAAGTAATCTTTGTTTTATCTCTTTCCACATTACTCAGAAGCTATGGTTCCATTCTGTTTAATGGGTCAAAGATGCCTATGTGAAGCACGTACATTGCACATTATATTTGCTCTCTCTTTAGAGGATGGGCCATGGGAATTTCCAAAAGGCAATCTATTTCAAAGTGGAAGCAGAAATGCTGTATCAGATTTATGCTGTAGGCATTTACTTGTGAATAAAAACTTTTGTCTGTTTGCTTTTTTCTCCAAACAAGAGCACTTGCCTTCATTCTATATGATCTGAATATTCAATTCTGTAATTTTTAGCAGTTTTGGTACAGCATGTGACTAGTGTATCCAGTTCACAACAGTAAGACTGATTTCTGGGAGTATTTTAGTTGTATCACTGATCTGCTAACTCTTGACGGCGGCGCACGATCTCTGTGAAGTCCAAGGTCCGCTCTGTTGTGTCCTGGAATACAACATACAGGAGGGCCAGTGTTAGCTCACGGCAAGTCAGTGACCACTGCCTTCATCAAACGACTCCACCCCAGAGTCGCATGCTGCTGCATTTATTTTTTCCTGGCGTCTCCGCATGATCTCCTGCAGCTCTGACCCGCTGCTTCTCTGCAAAAAGAGAGAAAAACGATGTTTTACAACATATCCATCTTTGGTATAAACTGCTAAGAGCACCCCTGCTGTCTTACAGAAATCAGAGATGTGAAAATGTCTCTTTGATTTTCCTCATCTATGATGTTCCTTAAAATATAAAAAATATCTTGCACAATGTCAAGGCAAACAAAATCTTCAGATCATATCCTCGGGAGGCTGAAGGCCAAAATGATTAGCTGCTAAGAGGATATTCCAAACATCTTTTAACTATTTAACTTTTAACTATTCAGACTTCAAAGTAAAAAAATAATGGCATTCAATTTAGAATAATGAGTCCCATCCGGCAAAAAAGACTACCATCATACACAGAATTTTAAAACATTTTTGCTTATCTTTCATCATGGTAGACTAAATAATTGTGTGGTGTTTATATATTTAACAATTATTTAAGAAACTCAGTACTAGATCTGTCATTTTAGTGGTCCATTTCCAGGTTAATCTCAAACAATGCATTTTTCGTTAAAACAGACTTAAAAATTGATGGGTAACCTAGAGATAATGTACATTGAACAAAAAGATGGATTTATTTTTAAGCAGGAGATTTAATTTAATGTATAGTGTTTGCTATTAAATATTTATAAAACGATATAATACAATTTGTATTTTTTTAGCTTTAAATAAGAAGGCAGTTATACTACCTAACCAACATTTGACAATAATAAGACAAACACATAAAATTAAAATGAGATGAACTGCACAATTGAATAATATGGAGGATTCACACCTAATGCTCTAAACTGAAACTGAGAGCCAGTTACAGGGTTATACTCTGGAAGAACGGGAACAAATTCTTTAAAAGACCATGGCAACCATAAAGGAAAAGATAAGAAAATATTGTTTTCTAATGGCTTATATAGCTCCGCTTCATTATATCCATGCAAATCTCAAGTGAAAATTACACTCAAATCAAATCTCGTACAAATAGTATAATGAGATTAAGCCAAACCACTGGAAATTTCAGGTTATACTAAATCAAAAACAGGAGAGAAAGTTCTGCACAAAACCTAGATTATACACCATCCAAAGGATAAAGCATAATTAAGAAATGGCACAATAAAATCACTGTGACTTGCCTCTTACTTCCATATGGAAGCAGCTTGAGACAACACTTTTTTCATCAGTTTCTCTCTATTTTTATATTCAGAATCTTTCAAACCACTCTCTTACGCTAACGAAAGAGTGAATCAGGAGAAACTCTCAGGTTAAACAGTATATCTTTGATTTTTTTATGACTGTGAATCTTCCCCTCAATATTTGGCCTATGGTCTCCAATCTGTGAGCCTTAAGGTGGTCTTCGCTTGAACTTGGGTCTGTCTGCAACCCTTTCAAATTTTTAATCTTTTTTTGATATTCATTCAAACCCACTAAGAATCAACAATAAGGTAGTTATAATGCTCAGTTTCTGAACAGCATGGCAAGTATTTTTATGTACTACTACAACATGATACTAGATACTACAGACAGGTCCTATGCTACACCTTACATCACAATTAGTCCCATAACGTTAGAATTACGGGACTCATGGCCTTTTCTGTCCTCCTGGAATGGTGGATTAACAAGAACAGAACACAACCATAAACTGTGGCTAACTGGTAATAAGAAAAAATAAAATGGTATTCTACAACTTTGAAGACTGCCGTTTCGAAAAACAAAGTTACACCGAAACATTTTTTTCCTTCCAAACAAAAAAATGTTGACTGAAATGTCATGGTTTACCATTAAAGACTGAAGAATGAGAACAGAAGATGCAAGCTAAGAATTACCTACTGGGTTCTGGACTCCATGACTCTATTTGAGGATGAAGTAACTACTACAAACAAGGTAAAACTAGGCTATGGACACTAGCTGAATAAACACAAACTATTTTTATTTCTATAGTAAAAGACAAAAAGACAATCTCTGTTGGCCAGATTCTTTACATTTAGGATAAATAAAAGCAAAATCTTCCGGAATGACAATGTTGTGTAAGCTATGAATAAAATGTGCATTTATTTGTTGCTGAATTAGTCTATATATGTCACAGAACATATTATTCTATAGATAAAAAACATATTAATTATATGTATAGTTTTATCTTGTTGCAAAAGTAGTTCTATGAGTATACTGTATACTGTATATATTCCAGCAATAAAGAGGTAAATAAGTCTGTCATTGTCCGCAGTTGTTCACAGTTCAAGTGCAGAGGAACATACTGAAATTTTGACAACATTGTGTGGCCAATTAAGGAACTGCAGTTTTGCTTTTATTTGAAATGTTTTTGTTTTGTTTAAAGAAGAGCCTCTTCAAATTTATTTCAGAGCTTCTCTGTATAATGTTTTAGTTCATCTTCTCCAATAATTAAAGCAAACTATGCCGATGTTGCAATATCTCCACCTAATTCATGTTTTCCCTTCCAAAAAGTTAAGAGATCACTAACACAAAAATAAATTTCAGGTTTTGCAAAGTAAATGCATAACCAATAGGATGTATGACTCATTAATAGGGACCTCAGATTTCCCACAAAGGATTGTATTTTGCTCATGTTGATGGATATATTGGCATTTAGTCACCTGACCTGTCCAGAAGCAATGCTATGAGTGGATGAAATTTATTGAAAGCTAAAAGATAAAATGTTCGATTAAATATATAATTACTACTGACCATACAAATGATGTCCGTGCACCATCTATAAAAACCTGGCCAACATAGAAAATCCACCTGTATTTTTGTAACATGATACCTTTAAAGGTTTTTGAATGGAATCTGAAGAGTTGCCAAGTGGAATCAGCAGAACACCTGTAGATAGGAGATAGATACCACAGAAACCCAAGGCCATGCGAGCACTGGGACATGTTATCTTTACTACTCTCCCACATAGTATCGGCACCTACTGTACACAGATGCCCACAGCCACAAACGCATGGCAACTAAATAAAATGACAGGAAAAATCATTGCATTATTGCTGTTACTAGCTTTTCATAGATGCAGGGCACTAAATTTCAAGATCAAGATTTTAGATCCAGAAAGTAAGTAAATTTACATGGGTAACCACAGTGCAAAGTTCAATTTATTATTCACAAGAACAATTTTCCACAACCCATCATTGGTTAGAATATCTAAATGATTTGAACAGAGTAGACATTTAGATCTGAAATGCCTGAATTCTCATATTGATGACTTTTTTCATTTTCTCATATTTAAAGTGATATGACAGGGGATAAGCAAAGGTCCATGTCAATTATTTTATGATCCAGGCTAGAAATAACTCTAAGCCTTTAGGCTGGAAAACAGGACAATCTTCCTGGAATACATAGGCCCTTTTTACCTCACTGAATGTTAGCTTGATTACACACTGGTCAGCATTTAAGTGTTACATTGTGCTCTTGCCTTTTTTGGCTAAAGCAAGCTGACCCCTGCTTTTGCCAGGTATCATATATTGCCTCATACTGATAACATACAACCAGTAAATGACAATGCCTATTTATTTAATTTTGCCAGAAAATGAATTTACCTCTAGTCAATTTTTGAAAACATAGATCAGAAAAATTCAAGCCTAAAATTATAAAGTTGCCTTAAATATAACAACTTTGGGTGAAAACCATTTGTTGTTTTAATCAAACAGTACATACTGTATGTAAAGACTCTGAAAACAGTGAATAGTCCTGTATTATTTATAATTATTTGTACCGAGGGGATATTATATCATTTATATTATATATTATATTATATTTACATTATATAATATTATATAATTTTCTTAGTGGGAGCATATTTGGGTAATAACTGTATAATGATACCAAAGAAAAGGGACTCACAAAAAGTGACATTGATATCCTTTAAGACAATACAAAGGGCAAGGTCACAAACTTGATTTGTTCCATCATATTGCATGTTGCATGTTGAAGTATTTACATTCTTGCTAATTTAAGACAATAGAGCATGTCAGGTTTTAATACTCCATCATAGACTGAGGAAAACGTACCTCCAGAGCCGCCTTCTGTACAGTGACTTGGCTGTATACTCGCGCCCCATCATCAGGACACACTGTCTTCAGCTCATCCTTGTTCAAGGAGAAGAGTTGGGCACCTGTGAGAACTCCCAGACTGTTGATGGTTCTGAGAAAACACGACAGAATGGATTTCATTCACTTCTTAGAGCTTCAAACCAAGGGATGTTTACTTAGTTATGGTGGGTGTGAGACACACTGATCAAAATAATCTGATTTACTTTAGGTGATTAAGTTCTGCGTAAATGATTAAGAGTGTCAAAGGTGTAGGATAAAAGACAGGGAGATACAAGGGAATAAATCAGACCAGAACACAGGGAGAGAGCAAGACAGGAGGACACAGAATATAAAGCATGTGCCAGGTGAGAGGTCCTAGTCCAGATTATCTGAAAACACCGGACTGGGGTTAAGTACAGTATTTGAATTTTGCTAAGAGAGATTGCTAGTCTATAGCTACTCTAATTTCCTAAATAAAGAAACCCTCAGTTAAAAACAAGCTCTCCTGGTTTGTGGGTACAGTTTAGAATAGGGAAATAGGTTCCCATTTATTTTGTGGCATTTTTGTTTGAATAAGAGTCTGAGATTTTTCTGGGTTGTTAGGGCATAAGACCTCTGTGATGCATTGTCTGTAAACTTTTATTGCATATAGGGTAACTTTGTGTTGTACATAAACGTTGTGTGTATTGTCACTGTTAATCAATATTTGTTTATCCAAGTGCCTGAATTATTACCTTAAGAGGTGCCAGAGAATAAAGAACTAATGTGCCTCTATTTTAACCACTCAGGTATATTCTTGGCAAAATCCTTACAAAATGGGGGTTATGATTATTTACGTTTATTTACTTACTGATTAACCTTCTTGGTCAATTTTCTGATTTTTTCTATTTTGTAACACCCCGATTTGTAACAATATATTGCTGACTGGCCAGAGAAGAGCAACTAAATACAGTACATTCTGGGGCTTTTCTACACTGACAGGCTGAAAGCACAGACCTTTTCAGTGTTCAACAGAAAAGACTACATGCAGACCTGATACAAGTATTCAAAATCCCCAAAGGCACTGACAAAGGCACCTCAGCAGATTTTCTTTGTCCTAGAATGGACAGTGAAACACCACCTTGAGGGCACAAGGAGAAACTTTGTGGAAGTGCATTTCATCCCAAGAACAGGAGGCATTTCTTTAAACAAAGGGCTGTAGGAATGTAGATCAAGATACCCAGCTGTGTTGTTGAAGCCAATATCCTGGTTTCTTTCAAGATGAGATCCATAGATCAATTAACTACTAACTACCAAATTGGCTAGTAGCTTCCACTCATTTATTTGACAGTTTGGTATGGAAACCTGGGGTTGAAAAGCAAAACCAAACTGTCCAGGATTGTGAAAATCTACAACAGCAGTCCCAGCTCAGGGATTTAATATCATAATAAAGTTCTGAGAATAGCATGAAACATCACAGTTGACTCCACACACCCATAATACTCCCATCAGGAAGATGGTATAGGGAACCAAATTCAACTAAAAACAGTTATAAGAAGTCCTTTGTTCTCACAGCAATAAAACTATTCAATGAATGTATGTGAATGTATTCCCCCTTCCTATTTATTTATACATCTATTAATATATCACATACTGTTGTTGTGATTTCTTGTGATTTTATGTGACTCTTATATTTTGCTTGTGTGTTTTGTACTTCTGTGGGAGAAGCCAAAGACAAATTTCCACAGCAGTGGACAATAAAGTAACGATTTATCTATAACTGTTCTTATGATAGAGAACAGTTAGTTTCTTACAGTTAAAGTGATGCAAAAACAATTCAAACACTAGGACTTTAATTAAGATATTAATCATTTCTTTTCTCCACTACAGTATTCAAATGAAAGGCTCTAAAATTCATAGTGTTATTATGTCAAAGAAAGGAAGATCTTATTGTTAATTTTCATTTGAATTTTAGTTTTGTCAAAACAAAAAAGGTTAAAGTAAAAGTCATGTTACTAACTTAAGACTGAATTATAATTTTGTAAAAGCACAAAATGTAATATTTTGTAAAAGAGTGATTTATAGTCTCAATTTAACAGATTAGAACAATGATTTTAAAGCCCACTGTTTTTTACCTTTTCTGACTTTTGGACATTTAATTTCTTAAAGGCTTAAAGGTATTTTACACAATCTTTAACTTACACAGAGCTGAATCCTTTGGCCTGTAGCCACACCTTTACTTCCTCAGGGGAAGAGTCATAAGTGATATTAGCAGCAGGGAGGCTGGTGCTACGTGGAACCTGGTACTTCTTCTGTGCGCTGCGTCCAATGGTCAACCTGTGCATCAGCTCATCCTGGACCTCCTCCATATGGGATTTTCTGCCTGCAGGGCCATATGTACATTTTTAATGAACACTTTATCTTTTGTGATTGTGCATTAAAAGAAATAAGAAGCAAGAAGCAGAAATTATTTTTTTTAAACAATACAATTGTAAAAATCAACTAAATTAACTCTACCATAGCAAAGCAATGTGCAATCAGTCAAGAAATCCTTTCTTTGAACCAAAAAATACTTCAAAATAAAAATAGTAATAGCTAAAAATGTTGGCTTTCAAGAAAACTCCCAAATGTACATGATTTCTCACACAGCACCTACCTAATGGTGCCTCATGTTCATGACCTTAATATTTTAGACAGTTCTACAAAGCATTTATAAATTATATAAATTATTATTAAAGTTATTTTGCATGTCTTTTTTAAAACTGTAGAGGAGACAAAACAGCTTTTTCTGTGAGTCAACAGATGAAACTTGAGTTTCATCTGTGTCTCTAGTGATATTTCTGAATATGATGGGTTATAGATTATCTTTATCTTTCTGAATCACAAAAACAAACCAAAAATAAAAAGCAAGAGCAGCGCATTCTGTCCACCTTCCTGTACATCCTGCCAAGACAGTATTAAGTGGCTGCATGTCTTTGAACCTCTTCACAACATTTACTGAAGCATTGTGACAGGTTCATTGCTTTTATGGGACCTTTATCCTTAAAGACATACAGTATGAATGTACTCATGTTATCTCATTTTTATGCATTGGGCAATTGCCCTGGGCAAACGCCCAGGATTGTGGTTTTGAGTTCTGCAGGATGAGAGACAAACTCTCTCTTATAACAAGAGTCAGACAGCTTGTTGGGGTTGAGGGTTTGACTTTTAAAAACAATTTGATTTACACTACTGAACTGTACATAGTGTATTGCATTCATAATCAAAGTTTTTCTGGCTAGAGCTAAAAGTTTTAATCTCAAGATTTTTAGATGTTGTCTTAGTGGATATGTAGCCTAAACACATTATGTCCATGCCAGTGCTTCCAAAAGTCTTTACAACTGCTGGAAAGGTTGTTACCCTGAACATCCTGAACAACAACTCTTATGAACTGAGCTGCATTGCACCCAGACAAATAGTGTTCAATTAACTTTATGCTTAATTTTTTTTTGCCATTCCCTTGCTTTAATCTGACACATAACCATTATTTTTTCCCATACTTCTCCACTTCTCCATTGCCTAGCTGGAATCTTAACTCATCACTCGCTGTCTTTGAAGAAACACTGAAAGGTGTTTTCTGGCTGTGTGGTTGGACTTCTGTTCCCGGAGGAATCAGATTTCAGAGATGCGGAGCACTGCCGGACCTCTGTTCCTGCAGTTCTACCCCTCTAGAAGCGACTGGCAGTTTGACTCACGGGTGACCGGGGTCGGCTTCTCCTGCTGCCTGTCCCTCAGCTTCATGCTGCCATTGTCACTGGAGTTGCTGCTGTTTTGCCGGCTGACGCCCGTGGAGGAGGACCGCTGACCCGCGCACAAGGGGACAGCGGCAGGAGGCATGGGAGGAGTGGGGGGCTGAGCGGCGGCAGGCGGTGGAGACGGGGCCGGAGGGATGGGGTGCATCGGTTTGGGAACATAATCCGTTTTCTGCTTCTGTGGAACAGAAGTATGGCTTAACTACATCAAGAATGGAAGGGTTTCTAATCTGTCAAAAAAGCCACACAATTTCAAAATTCCAACATTTACCTCAGTGTAGCCAACAAAACACATGATTATGCCTGTACTCTTGTATGAGCGCTGTTGTTACATGAGAAACATGAGGACTTGGACTGTCAGAAGTAAATGAGATTACTGATAGATAAAAAATAAAACATTTTAATTTGTTCTTTGGCTCACCAATATACCAGAATATAAAGTATGTGTGTTTTTCACACTGTTAAAACTTAAAATTGATAAGTAACAGCAGTATTGTGTGCTTCAAATTCTTAGTGCCAACTAGCATTACAGTTACTACAAGAACAACAATGTCTTTTTAATAATAAAGTTTTGGCAAATATCCAGGAAACTTGCTTTCAGTAAACAGTTTGAGTCTTCTATGCAAGAAGTCAAAGTCTTATACATGTCACTGGCTAGACTCAATTTCTTTTCACAGAAAAAATAAAAGAATGCAATTATAAAAAAACAATCTTTTATGAAAAATTATATGAAATACATACTATACACTAAATACTAAGTTACTAATTTCATATTATAAATGTGAATATACAGTTTAATAGTTGTATGCTTCACATAACCACAACTGCTAAGTTTGACAGTTAGAGGTATACTCAATGAAGTAAGGATCTACTGAAGAAAAATGTCTTCAAATCATATTTTGGTACCATTTCTGGATACAGTTCTTGATACAGAGGCCTCTTTGGATACCCATTGTACCAGCAATGAATAACTATATACTGTGAGGCATTATAAATCATTGGAACCAATAGCATTTGATTAATTTTAACAGCTCTCAGTAAATACAGGGCAACCATTATGTAACCTCCCATGCTGGAGCAATATCACCTCTTTATAATTTCCTCTGATCTACTGTAAACATTACTGTATTAGATTACAAGAATTAGCTAGAATCACAAGATAACGTGTACATTTACATGCATACAAATGAATTCATATTCTTTAATCTACACAGAAATATCTTAATTACCTCTGATAGCTCCCCAAGTAATTGCTTGCAGGAAAAAAGTAAAACATAATAACAAAACTAAAAATGAGCAAAACAAAATTGTAAATCATAACTGAAAGCACTGCAAACACACTACAAAACACTCTCTCTGGGTGAAAAATTCATTTACTGAAGAGGCAGCAAATGTTTAGAGTAGATGTGTTGTTTTTTTAAGAGGACAAAAGAGGAAAGCAAAAAAGAATTACTGAGCATCCAAAGAAACGTATTGCTTTTAACAGCAAGAAAAAAACACTTATCTGGAAAACAATCTTTTTTGTAGCATGTGCTCTGACATTTTACTGAACTGAATTAACTTAGGTATTTCCATTATGCCCATTAACACTAATCTTCAATGAGGTTTGTACTATGACAGTAACATTTTCTTGGAATGTGGGGTCAGTACTGAAAGCATTACAAGCTGTATATCTGTGACACATACAGTACTTTAACCAGGTTGCAGATGCTGTCATGCTGTCTTGTGGGATTCGGACTCATTTCTGTTGTACAGCCCTGGTCTCTGAGCCACACACTACCCCAGCTCATCCCACAGATGTTCAACAGGTGTGAAGTGTGATGAGTACAGCATTAATGGCAGAATTGTCACCTTTTTATCTTGTTTGAATGCTGTTGTTACATGAGCAGCGTGAGGACTTGCACTGTCCTGCAGGAATGCTGTCACGTCCCAAGTCTTGGCCAATGTAGAATTTTGTGGTCAGATTGCCATCCATAATAAATGGAGTTCTGTAACAATTAGATACTCCTACCCACACCATGACTTTTGGAGTTCCCCATCAAATGGTCTGTTGCACTTAAACTTTTTCATGTATGCACCACACCTGCTAATGGGAACCCTCTTTTTTATCTATTAATATAAACAATAAAAATATTTAAACAGTATTCAAAATTAAAATCTTTACTTTTATAAATATGTCAAAATAGATGTTTCTTTTGATGCCCAGCATATTTTTTGGTGGTGGGAAAAAAAACTAGGGGACACTATGAAGCTCATATTACGCCTGTTGTAAAATTGATTATTTAATAAAATCATTATTGCTTAGTGTTTCTCATCATACACCTTGAACTCAAGAGTGCTTCACAGTAAAGTCATAGCTGAACCAGTAAATGTCAACCAAACTGAAGCCAACAATGGTGTGGCATGAACCACTAATGTTGCGACACTATGTCACACATATTAAAACAATGTTAGAACAAGGTAGAGATTTGCTCTTCCTAAAAGTTGGATTTTATATGCTTGTGGCTTGAAATATTTAAGCCTGTTATTGTCTTCTACAGAAACCTGCTCTGTGACCCTTTCTTTATCTGAACCTTGCTGAGAGAACTTACCATTCTGGTTTTGTTAGCTCAACCTGGTGAAGTGCTTTTACCAACAGTATTTTAGTTTTCTCTAATAGCAAAAAAAATCCAATAACTAGTTCCAAATACCTACCAGAGCTTTGCAAATAAGGTACTCCTTTATTGCTCGTAGGTGGTATTTGTTCACAATGACCATGTGATTGGTCTAGATACCACTATAAGTCTGGCATATTTATTTAAAAATTAACACTCATATGTCATCAATCTCACTTATGTTATGTTATAGCCTAAAAAGGCAATGTTAGCCAGAAAAAAATCAAATTCAATTATTCAAGTGTGTGAGGAAAAACTAAAAAATAAAATAGATTTTTATTCATAAAGGAGAAATAAAGTAGAATTACATTAAAATTTACAAATCATCATTCCTTTCTTCAAAAATAAAAACAGTAAGGAAATAGCAGCATTGGCATAAGTTCAGCAGGCGGTCGATATCAATGCAAGCAGCTGTATTGTTAGGTCTACTCCTGTCACAGTGGGAGTAGAAGGACAGTATAAGCTGAAACAACCAGCCGCAAAACTCTCACTACTAAAGGAGGCTATCAGCAACAGAATCACGCTGCTAAATAAGGCTTCATAGACAGCATTGTTCCTACAAATAAGGGTGCTGCAGCTTCAGTACATAAACGTTTTCTCCTGACCACCCCTCTCACTTTTCTGAAGGGAGATAAGAAGGAGGTGGAAGAAGGAGTGAAAGGGAACTAAAAGATACTTGGTTTGGCACAATTCCCTCTAGAAATCAACGAGGGAAGAAATAATCTCCTCCCAGAGTTGAAGTGTCACACACAACTAAACGGATGCACTGTTATAATATTGACAAATTATACATACTGTAGGTGGTCACCTTCTTAGAGATTCAAAGGTAACTCCATGGCAGTTTTAAAAATGAATGGAACTTCTCCAACATTAAAGAAATCTAGGCTTAAGGCTACTGTAGTGTTGTTAACTGTTTGCATTAATACTGTTATGTATGATACCATGTTTTGGTTCATATACAGTACTTGTCAAATGCACTATGCCTATTTATTAATATCTTTTTTTCGTTTTGTTGTGTTACTAGCTGCTGGTCATTGTTTTTGTTATTTTCATTGATTTTGCTGTTTTGTTTTGTGTAAAAAAAGTAAATGTGTGTACAGTATATGTGGATTCTTTATATAGTACAGTGTATGTGGGTATTTGTGGGGGCTGAAGTATTCATTGCCTAATTATTATCCTTTTGTATTTAACCCCTTTCTTATTTCTGTCTTTTTCAACTTATTTTCACTTTCCTCCCCTTCACCCCCTTTCTTTTTCCTTTCTCTCTTTACCTCATATTTAATTGTTTTTGTACTGTAAATTTTATTGAATAAGAGTACTGGTCAAAAAGTACAGTTAATAATCGCAATCTGTGAATTTTCAGTTTTGGAATGTTAATGGTATCATTGTCTCCATTAAAAAGTAAGAAATAATAAGCTTGTGCATAAAACACAATTGCTGGAATTAGAGCATAACCAACTTTTGCAATGTAAATGGGTTTTGAATGTAATTTCTGCCTCTTCAGATGGTAGAGACATTTTGATAATAATAAATCTATTCACTAATAAGTCCTGTACTTTCAATAATCAGTCCTGAAGGGAATTATATTGTAATTCACAGTGAAATAAATACAAAGCATTTTATAATAATAATCATATATGCCCCAAATGAAGACAATCCTGAATTTTTTCACTTTTTCAGAAATTAATGTATGCTCTAAAGAGATTCTGGTCATGGTGGTGACTTCAATTTAATGCTACAGCATAGTTTAGACAGATCAGTCATGTCAAATATTTTAAACTTTCAATTAAAAGTTTCGTAGTTAATAAGTATATCAATGATTTGGGTTTATGTGACATTTGGCGTCTATTCACTCCAACAAATAGAAAATATACTTTATTCTTTCCAGATCATTAAATCCATAAACACATTCATTTCTTTCTTATGAATAATTTGATTGTTCAAGTTCTCATACTGTTTAACCAGTAATACATTCTGACCATGTGCTTATACATTTTAACATCTTAATCATAGCCAGTTTAAGAAATATAGATGTTGCTTTAACATCTCATTATTAACGGATGAATCATTTCATATTTTTTTCAGAAGGAATGGTAACCTTTTCTGGAAAATAATAGTTCAATGGAGTGCTCTCTCGCCATACTTTGGGAAAACAGCATAAGCTGTCCTCAGAGGTAAACTTAACTCATTTTCTTAATTTAGGAAAAATAATATTTTTGATTAGAACTAAAGAAGATGTAAATTATTTATCAGATCACTCCTTCTGAAGTACATCATTCTGGAGTTCAGACATCAACTTAATCAAAGCAGTGAAAAGGAAACTGTTAAGAGCTCATCAAACTGTTTACTGTTAAGAGCTCATCAAACCTAATTTGAATTTAGCAAAAAACCTGGACATCTTCTAACAATTAATTAAGGGAAGGGAAAAAGTGCAATTACAAGTATCTTAAAGGAGGATGGGAAAATTACATATGACACAACCAATATAAATGGTACATTTATATTATATTATATTAATATATTCCTATAATCTCCTGGGGGGAAATGACTGGATTAGATTCCCCTGTCTGCATTATATTTTATAATACAGCATTACTGTCTATGGAAATGGGAAATCTCCTGGCTTAGACGGCCTTTCATCTAGTTTTCTGTAGAGTTTCATAAGTATTTTGTGCACCTTTTTGTACTTCTCTTTTTTAGAAAGATGTTAGAAATCATTTCCAAAAGAAGGCCACATATCATAATACAATTTTATATAAGGAAAGACATTTGGGTTTCTAATGACTTAAAGCTGACAGATTGTAAAAATACAGCTCCACACTGTAGTTTGACAAAAGCTTGACTAAAACATTAAAAGTTTATAAGAAACCTTTTAATAACCATGTCGTTTTAATGCTACACTTTTCTCTTATATAAAAAACTGTCAGATCACTCCTTCTGAAGTACATCTTAAGTTTTCCCATGAGAGACAGGAATATCCTAAACTACTGAGCAGCATGTCAATTTCAAGGCAATCTAGACCTAAACATTCCTTCAATCTAGTGAATACCTGATCTTTTTTTTCTTTTCTATTCATTAAACAAACCTCAGTAAATACATACTGTATACTGAAAGGGGGGACTGGAAACTGTATGATGAATTCTAGCCACTCCTTTTGATTTAACGACTGATCTTATCCGCTGCTCTCCACTTCTTTTTTGAAGAACGGTAAGATAGCTGAGAGCCTGTTGCTGTGTTATCTAAGATTTATTTGATTTTCAAAACAGCAGGGTTTCAATCTGCCAACATCTTTGTCATTAAAAAGGAAAAAAGACTGCATGTCTAGCAGATAAAAAAAAAACAAAGGGAAGGGTTCTAGTAGCACAAATCCAGCACAAAAACAGCCCTACCTTGAACAACTCAAATTCCTTCTTTGGCATCATTAGCTTTATATATTTAAAACAAAAAAGCAAAGGAAAAAAATGGAGGAAAAATTAAGATATTGCAAATATGATTAATACAAATTAATCATATACTCACATTGCTTTGGCAGAGCTGTAATATAATTCCCCATTTTTAAGGTCCACTTTGGCACATCATTAAATTAAATAAGATATAGTTCGTTATGCAGTTGTATATACTGTAGTCCTTAGGACATTTAATTGAAAAAATCTGTTCTCAGTGGATTTGCAATATGTTTATTATTAGAATGCAGAGCTGAGGAGAGACATTATTAACCCATTTAATATTATAGAACATTAGGACAGGACAGGCTCATAACACCGGATTTACCGATATTTCTTGTTCCATAGCTTTTTATATACTCTGGTCATCTGCTAGAGCTCATGAAAAGATTAACCAAACAAATGTTTGCTTCCGGCAAAATAATTGTGGAACCAGTCTGAATCTGAGAAAACATTTGAACGAAGAATGTTTCACACTGTGCTGATATGCACACTCTTCTTTGAAACAGTAATATCAGTTCCAAAGGGCCTGGGAAAGTGTTTACAGGGAATTTTAATCTACAGTTGCATAATCGTACTGTGTGATGTAGTTTATTCAAAAACAGTAAGGAAAAAATAAGAATATTAAAAAATGAAATAAATGTAGATAATGGACAGTATGCAAGTCCTTTTAAGTATTTTATGACAGGTTCTTAAAATGGCAGATTAAGTTGGGTGTCTGGATCAGTACAATAAACAATGCATTCATATGCTATTTTCTTTCCGATATGATGAAACGAATACGTAGAACTATTTTGTTCTGTTGATTATGCATTTGAATTAGTACATTTGAATTAATAAACCACTCCGAACACTCAGAATACAGCACAATTGGCTCTGCTTTAGTAAGGGACTGCATTTCAGCTTTCAAACTCCTGGCCTCCATCCTCAGAATGGCTACATCATAAGCAGCACTGAAGAAATGCAATAATAAAAATTGAAAAAGCACAATGAAAAGATGTTCATTACCATAAGGCTGTGTTAAAGGAAGAATCCAAAAAACTGTTGGTAACAACAATTATGTTTTTGAATAGTCAATATATTATTTTTGTAAATTCACTTATGATGTAGAATCTGTCTGTCATGTGATAAAACATATTAATTGCATTGCTTTTACAAAATCACTCTGATATTTCACACATTACATTCAACAGCAATATTTATTGATTAACATTAATAAATCCATAGAATATAAGGTACTGTACATACACTCAACTGGCAAATATTTCATATAGTAAGCCTCCCCAAGCAGAAGCTAAGTTGGTGCTGACGAACAGTCTGACCTTTGCCCTGATGCTCACCTGAATGGTGTGGCTATAGACAGGGTCTGTCCGTCCTGTAACCATATCCACAGTCCTGGTAATTTCAAGGATGTTGTTTGGCACGTACCCTGAAGCCCCACTTGCATTTTTAACTTTCCACCACTGCTTTCTGTCATCCAGCACCTGCAAAAAACAGCCTTCAACCACAATTTGTTCTAAATTGAAACTTTTTATCCTGCATAAGATTAAAACACCTGAATCTTAGGATCTGTACCAGAGATATCCGAATTACCGGTTACTGATAACTGTGAACTAGTCCTGAAAGAAATTATAGCTCAATACACAATTACATAATTATTTAAGAATTAATTGCATTGATATAGCACTTTTCATTCCACAACACTTTACACAAAGTAGGGGACCATTATGAGCTGGCAACACCAGCATATGGACAACACCATCAGGTGGACCTCTGAAAAATTGCTTCAATAATTGAATGAAGAAGGTCCTTATTCACATCTCCAAATTTGAAACAGAAACCACATTAACATTCAGTTCCCTCATTGATATTAACTGCTTTGTTCTTAAACCAAGAAAACATTAGATCCTCTACCTCTAAAACTTCATCCTTCACAACAGATAATTCGGTGGTGTTCCTTGCTACAAAATCGTACTTAGATTTGGCATAATTCTTTGGTTGGATTCTTCCATGGGCTTCATAATTTCTGAAAAAATAATACACATTAAATCAAAAAATACAGAAATAAAAAATAAATGCATTTGTATTTTACTTTTCACTCCCATCTAGACAGTTGAACAAATCTATAAAAAATTAATTAAGGGAAAAATGTAGGTTATGCTAAGGTATTCAAACCCAAATTAGAATTAAGTTTGGAGCCCACAAAACAATTATACTCTTATGAATATTGCCATGGGTCATTTAATGATCAAATATTTAGGACCTTGGTTTAATGTGTCATTCAAAGGATGACACCACCTGCAGCATAGTGTCCCCAGTCACCAACTTGGTGGTTTAGTATGTACACTCTAGTCCAGGGTGAAGACCACCTTACGGTCCACAAACACAACTTACACTGCAGGAACCAGGTTTTCCTTACAGGCCACCCAGTACTGAAAAGGCCGAATATTTCTTGAGATTATGAGATCTGATCAGATCAGGTTACAAGGTGGTAATGCCATAGCAACCAAGCTGTTACCATATCCAGAAACATTTGCTACGGCAGCAAGGCAGACTACACCCAAGTTGGGAAGCTAATTTAGTTCATCACAGGGAACACACAGACAGAAACAAAGACACACTCAGCCCAGGGCCACTTTTCCTAGAAGCCAATTAACCTACCAGTATGTGTTTGGACTGTGGGAGGAAACCAGAACACCCAGAAGAAACACTTGCAAACACTGGGAGAACACACGAACCCAGGGAACAAACACTGCGAGGCAGCAACGCTAACCAGTGCACCACCGCCCACACAAATAATTTCACGTAACAAAAAAACTACAATTTTGTTAAGACACGTAGATGATGTGAAGCACAGTGCAAAACATTCATCAGCAGGCCCAAAACAAACATGAAACAGGTGGCTAACTAGGTTGTTGACCGTCACAGCCGTGGAGAAGTGTCCGTGCTTTAATATCAGAAAGGAAGGAAATCTAGAAAATACAAGATTTTAAAGAATAAACACAAAAAGTAACACTTTGATGTCTCAAGGATAGTTTATAAAGACAAATTTGGAAAAGCAAACCTATAAGGAGGAGATTTAGAGGGAAAAAAGGATGACTTTGTACCTGAAGAGTACAAAGTAAAGAGTACAGTATATGCTGCATGCCTGACCACAGAGAAATGTTTGCACCATAAGAATCTAGTAAAAAGAGTATTAAGATCGAATTGTCCAACTTTTATGATATTCTACCTTTTTTGGAGAAATGTTCTTTATCTAAATTGACTGGTTTACATTTGATATTTCAGTTATTACATTTACAATAAGCTTGTGTTGCTATGATGTAATATTTACACAAGCAGACAGAAATATTATGTAATCTTGGTTTAAATGCTTTGGCCTTTCCCAAACTGATTACTTTCTTTAATGTAACTGGAAACATTATATTTTTATTCTATTCCATTTTTAATGCACTGCTTATTTGTGCTATACAGAAACACACAAGAAGAACAGGGGAACTATGCTTGAAAGAGGGAATATAAAGGATATAAAATGGACAAACTTAAAAATATCAAGTTTAAGTTTTATTACAATACATTTTGCATGAATTAATATAATTTTGAATTTTCTTGAAGTTTAATAATTACCAATCAGTGTGATCAGAAACATCAACTGGAAAGAATGTATCTATTTTTCTAGTACCACAATAATTTAGAGTGTCAAAATTTCAATACAAATCTTATAAGTTTAAAAAGTATGCTTTCCTTTTATCTGACCTTGATGTTAGTTTCACAGAATAATATTGGAATAATTATCTGGCAAACTCACAGTAGACAGAATGAAAGAGGATAGAGAATAAACAAAGAATTGTGAACAGGAGGTGACAGATGCATTATTTTAATTAAAGCTACTGTCCATGTACAATATCATAAACAGAATTAAAACCTTTTGAATAAAGCTCTTTCAGGCATCACAAAAATGTAAGGCAAAAACGGATTGCTATGTTTACTGGGAGAACAGAATAGAAATATATTAAATTGAACAAAACAGATCATGTTTAAATATTTTTCAATTCTGAGAAGACTTAATACATATCTTGACCTGAAAGTCAATGACAGTTAATGAATAACAAATTCTCCAGGTCTGCATGGTAATTCCTGTTATTTTTTGGTTTTGTGACAATTACACTGGTCTCCAAACATATCAATAATCAGTTTTCTATTTTTTTGTTTCCTACATATCTTTGATTCTCATATACATGAACTACTTGGGGGAATCTGTTTTCTTATTTTCCTTTTTTTTTAGATTTTCCATTACACTGATAAGAGAATAAAAAGGCATTCCTAACAAACAAGGAAGGATGAACAATATTGAGTGAGAAAAGAATCCCAGCACCATTCCCTAGGTTGACAGTAAAGCCTGACAGTTATCCACGGCCTGTCACTCAGCCAAGTGTCTGTTGTTACCTATCTACATGCCGACTGACTGCCTGCTTAAAGGCAGCGACAGCCATCTCCTGGTCCAGATAGTGCCCTCTTTTGTAAGCTGTGTTACTGAATGCATACCCATCGCTTGGAGGAAAGTCCTGGACACTGGGTTGCTGAAAAATTGCAGACAAAAAGAGAAAAAAAAACAAGGAGTATTAGATGTCAATACAATCAATATTATGTCACCCCAAAACATATCTCAGCATATCTTCATCATTTTGAGTTTAAATAGTCACACTTGTTTCATATCCAACCTGTATCTTCCATTACACACAGCACATAAACAGAATCTAGAGGTATGCAACTCTTGCTGAGTTGACATCAAAACACCCTAGTATGACTTGACCCTATAGCATCAACCATATCCCTACATCTACATATAGACACTGCATCAATATTTACAGTACATTTGAAAAAAGAAAACCACATACTTTAGTATTATAAATACACAACAACTGTCCTGTTTTTTTCTCGCACCTACATAGCCCCCCATAATTAACAAAATCAAACACAAATCTCACACCCGCACCTGCAAGTAACACATTCACCACAACACTCTCAAACCACCTTACCAAGTTCTGTGCCTAAATCAGCTGATTACACTCTGAGTGTAGTTGCAGTGTTGGCATCACATGGTCTAGCCTAGGATTGAACATTTCTGTGCTTTTTTCTACCACTTACTGTAAGTGCTGTAAAGCAGGTCAAGCACCATTATCCATCACTTTACCATACCTACCACTAATATTTCTCAACCACTACTTTTTGTCTTGACAACTACTTTCCCTTCCTTAATTCACTGCCGACTCATTCTTGAGATTCTCTTCTGTTTCTAGAGAAAGTCAAATACGTTGACGGCACTTCCTGCTGCCGAAATTCCTTAACTTGATGGGAATACACAGACACATCAATCAATACAAAGGAAAACTTCACATGTAGCTGTCGGAAAAGTTCAGACTTCTCTTACCATTACAGGCGTTTCCTATATTAACACATCTCAAACACACAGCAGCAACTCCGGGACAGATGCTTCTCACACACAGCTCACCTCGAGAGACAGTCTGCGCAGCTCCTCCTTGCGCTGGTGCTCAGCGACGTTGGCTAAAGACTCTGCCAGCTGGTTGAGCTCTTGCTCGCGGGACGTGCCCATGAAAGTGAGTAGTGGGGGCTCCCAGCCATTGCGGAAATGAGGGACATAAGGGGGAACATACTGCTCTTTGGGCCATTCCATCCTGGAGAAGACGAGACAACAGAGCAGAACACTGGAAGAAGGATTCTATGGTATTTATTCCTGGCAAAAAATATTCCTCTATTACATTGTTTCTTCCATCACCAAAATAGCATTAAAATGTCCTGTCATATTACTGAACAACAGCTATTTCTAGTTTTTAGCAGACATATGACAGGAACTTAAATTCAGATTAGAAAGTTATATCTCAGGAAAAATAATTGTATCTGCATTTTTCTCCTGAAATACATTATTACAGCATCTAAATGTATTATCAGCAAAGCTCTTTATACTTTCCAGACCAAGACTAAATAGAATGAATAATTTCTACATATTTAAACAGAATATCTCTCTAATTTCATACCACTGAAGATATTCTGTGGAAAGAAATAAAGTAAATAAAATAAAGACAGTGGAAACTATTGTATTCTATGTAAAACTAAAAAAATATGCCTCGTCACATTTTAAATAACTACTTTATCATGTCACAGAAATGCTTGCCTGTAGCAGCTATGAAAACAAATGCAGGCTTGTGGAGAAGCCCTGAAGCTTTTTTTTTTTACCTTGACTTAGTCCATGTATCGCCAAGTGACATCCAGAGCTGCCTTTCTTCAGGAGTGACAGTGGAGTGCAGGAAGTCAATTGCATCTTTGGTGAGTAGAGGGCTGAGGATGCTTTTGGCCAACTCCACCCCTCCTGTAGTGTGAATGACCTGTTGTAATGAAAAGCAACAGTACTGAGACATCTGACAGACCATGCTATGGAAATGGGAATTAATGGAGCTTACCTCCTTCCAGAATTGAATCTTAAACATATTCAGTGTATCAGTATACTGTAAGTGAATAGTACATGCATCTACAGTACAGGTTACTTTACACAGAGACTGAATGAATGAAAACATTTAAAATATAGCAAGAAAATTAAACATGAAGTTTAGCATAAATAAGGAACAGGAATTTATACAGTGCCCTTCATAAATACCTAAAGAGAAGTTAAAATATCAACAAAGTAAGTGGTTTGTTGAAGACTCTACACAGATATCAAATGTTTCTGACCTTTGATGGGTTAACCTGTGAAAAGGACTTAGGAATCTAAGTTGACTAACTGATATCAGAATTTTGACAGTGTTGAAAAATCTGGAAAAACCTCAGTAGAATACATGTACTGTATATACAGTACAACAAGAGGTGCTTATTTCAAATAAGGCATGGCTAAAAATGATGTAGAGAAAACTCTTGACCCAAAGTTTAAAACTGTTTCCAGAACAGAGATTAACTCATACAGAGAAGCAATGAAAGCACTGCATATACTTTATTGCCTAAAAAGTAAATATCTGTTCACTCAAATGTCTTCCTTATACAGCCCTATACTGTCACATAATGTATTTATGTTACTTACTGTCTGTCACATACTGTAAGTAACCCTCCCTTTATATGATCCTTAAAGAACAAATGCTTTGGTTTTAAGTTAATTAAAATGACATTGATCCACTAAAACAACAGCAATCACAAACTTATAGTAATCAGGTAAAATGAAGTGAGGTCATCACCAGTCTGTCATTCCCCACACTGCCGACACAACTGGGAGGGTTAGCAACGATACAAAAACAAGACCATGCTGAGATGCAGATGCTGGGTAGTGGGTACGTGGGCAGGGGGCAGGTAGAGGTAGATTTGTCTGTGGCCCAGCTCGTTTGAAAGGTGCAGTTCACAACCTCTGGCTCAGTTTCAACCTACTCTGCTCTTCTTCCATTCAAGGCCCAATTGCCAAGACCCTTACTGCACTTAATACCAAACGAAAGATCAGTCGAAAAAGGTAATTAAGTGCTCACTTACCATGTTCAGTGGTGTGAACAAAAAGTGGACCAATTCCAAAGCACTTGGGTTTTGAATGTGTGATTTTAACTTGCCCTGGACAAAAGAGCAGATATTTTACTAAATAGCTCAAACTGAAAGCCAGAAGCTCTTCCAGCTTTTGAAAGTTACCAGAATGTCATTTTCTTCTGTTATGACAGAGTACAATAATTTTAATAATAATATTTCCACAATGTACATGATTTTGTATCTATTCTAGCCCTGAAATTCTCAGTATAGCCTAAATATGACTACACTGACCTTACTGGAGTTATTACTGAATTTCTGCCAGTCACTCATCACTGATCACAGCTCATCACAGCAATTTCAGAAAGGTATATTTTAATTGTGTTTCTGGTTTTAAATTATACAGAATGTGGTATGATATGTTCTGCCATCCATGCAAACTGGAAGGACCATGTTTAGTTCCTCATTCTTCCAGGTTTCCTTTGTTGAATTTATTTGATTTGAATTGAGAATATACGTATATGTTTATAACAGCAAATCACAACACTAAGTACCAAATATCGGTATATCCATATGCTCAGTTCTCCTCACTTTTCTTAAAATCTAAATCTGTAATCATAAATACTGTAAGTCTAACCTATAATGTTTATGTAAAGTTTAAAGAACTCAGGGGAGCTACAATTTTTAACATTTAATATTGAACATTTTAACATCAAAATTTAGATTTGAAATAAGTATGAAGAGCCACATAAAAATAAAAACAATCGATGTGTTTAGACATGTGGTGCTGTGAACTTGCAGAAAAGGTACTTGAATTTCATAATGCAGAAGAAAGTAAATTAATCTCTGTTCAAAAATATTTTATTTTTATTTATTTTATTATGGTTTACCATAAATAAGTATTGTGAGTGACTGACAGACCCTTAAAATCATCAAACTATTTTGTGTTGGTATGTTTAACTAATATAAATAAATCTAATACAATAATACAACAATTAAAAAAAACTGACTGGTGTGTTCTTTTAAACATTTAAAAACATGAGTATCATACACATAATAAACTGTTGGATTTGAAATTGAAATATATTTTTTAAATTGTTGATACTTGAACATTGTAATGACAAACTAAAAATACTTTAATTCACCGCAAACTTACAAGCAGATTGAACGCATGCTTAAATTTTTGAAAACAGTCAACAAATTCCTCCTGAGATGGTGGCTTTGCCCGTAGTGTTAGGACACCCTCTAGTGGACAAAAGAAGAATGTTACCCACAAACTAACATCATACTGTACATGGACAACTTTCTGCATATTGAAGAGTACATTGAAAACCCCGACTTGTCTCTGTGATCTGTGATGTGGTCACACGTTTTAAAAAAAACACAGGACACAATGCTGTTGGATGGGCGACTTAATGCTGCATTTAGTCAGTGTTCTATAAATCACCTCTAAACTAGACTGCTGTTCAGAAAACTGTCAAAAATAGTTTTTTTCAACAAAGTGGGGCACTAAATTGCCAAGTTTACTGGCAACTTAGAAGATAAAATAAAACCAGCAAAGGGGCAATAAAACGTGATTGTTTAAGCCACAGAATAAAATAATCATTTTTCTTTTCAAAACCTATATGAATTCTACTGCAAAGACATAGTTCAAATGATAATTAAATTATTAAATGGATAAACTAAGAACAACTTCTTAGGTCACAGGTCCCTAAATATGGTCTTGTGGTGTCAGTGTGTCTACCGGGTTTTAAATCCAGCTGAGCTCTCGACTACCTCTGTCAGCTCATTTTTGACTTAACTGGAACAGTTCAGCAGCTTTACTCTCTCTTCAGCTGCTGATTCGTAAAAGAGACCTGGATAACCCACATGGCTGGGGACCCCTTTCTTAGGAGCTGAAAGCTAAAATAACTGAATATTCAGAATAAATGTAAACTGAAACCCATCTATGAAAAAAATTCTTTATGCTTTTTATTTGCAAGAGTTATATCACCCTGCAACGCATAACTGGCAACCCACAGCAGGTGGGTCAACAGGTGTGAGCCTGGCCAGTACCTGGATGGGAGACCTCCTGGGAAAGCTAAGGTTGCTGTTGGAAGAGGTGTCCCCATTACCTGTAAGGCACTTTGAGTGGAGGGTCCAGAAAAGCACTAAATAAGTGCAAGGAAGTATTATTATGGACAATCTGGTGAATACTCAACGGAAGCACACCAACAACTGTGGGGCTTCTAATTCCTAAGACATTCCTTAAAACACATCCTTGTGTTTTAAGCTTTAATTTTGATATTTTATGTATAACTTATGTGAATATCTGACCTGTAATAATTGTGATACAGTACATATTTAAATATAAGAAAGTTTACAAGTGAAAAGATAAGGTTTTTAAGCCCAGTTTGCTTACTTGGTTATTAATAACTAATTGGTGGGCAATCTCAGTGAGTTAATTCAGTTAAGATAAACAAATAAATGTAATTAATACTTCTTAACACTTCCTACAAAATAATGTGATGAATGCTTTAGCTTTATGAAAGGCTTAAATGATTTTAGAACTAAATGTTATAATTAGAAAATAAATTGTAGTGATTTTGGTGAAATAATGGTCTAATAATGAAACGGTAAAAAGGGGATCAAAGTTATTTTGAGAAAGATGTTCTTACCCCCTGGTCCCTTCTTTTTGTTTTTCTTTGATTTCTTCCTCTTTGAAAGCTCATTAAAAGCTTCAGCAGCTTTTTGAAGTTTAGTGACAAAAAACTCTATGTCATCCAAAATGTGGTTCAGGATTTGCTGGAACATTAAATAAAACAAAACTTGCAGTTCTGAAGACATTTTAACATTTTGTGACTCTTTTTCATGTTACATTCAGTGTTATTCTTAAGCTATTGGAACTATATTTCAGAGAAAGGGAGAAATGTAATCTTTAAATTGAACTAATGAGAATGTACAATATCAAAGTTAACATGCACACTTTAGTTTACATGGAAATACAAATTTAAAAAACAAATAAAGAAAACAGTATAAATGCTGCAACCAGACAATCTTAGCTGTCACACGCACCAAAGTGAAAAATCTGACTGCAAGACACCCAACTTCACCCAACAGTTAAACCGCAAATGAGTTGACTATAATATTCAATGTTGACTCCACAGACAGAGCTTTCTCTAGCCTGTATACCAGCTTTTGCATACATTATTTTCTTACATTAAAATTAATGTAATGATTTTTAACGAGATTTAATGACAGCTAGCGTAATGTTTAAATTGCATGTATTGTACACGTATAATCAAACATGTCTGCATTAACTTATGTCAGAAATGCTAAAAAATAAAATCACGCAGAATGACTTGAAACAGTACCATTTCCTAATACATTCCTATTACATTTTTTTATTCTGTCATTTTATTTGGTGAAAAGGGTAGAAAATATTTTTAAGAGGTGAACACATTCTTCTTTGAGACACTGTATATTGTTTGGTTCCTGTACATTATAAACACATCTAAATAAAAATGTCAAATGATGAATAAAAATGAAAAAACAACAACATGCTGATCACTAACTATCTCTGTCTAAAGTACCACCGGAAATATTATAGGTATGTGCTGACTCCACAAATACTGCATTAAAAAGAACACTAACACATACCACATCTCGGTCAACACGGGCAGCCATTGTCTCTGGTGGCTCGTCATGTTCAGAGAAGTATTTGTGCTTGTCATCTGCCAAAAGAAAGGGAGCAAATCAAGTTCAGGAAGTCACAATAAACTCTCTGCAAACCCACTATCCACAGCTGTTATTCCTCATGACAGGCTGCCCCAATGACTCTTCTGGATGGAAATGCCAATGTTACTTGGATCTCTGCATTGTTTGCTCTCTTGCTCAGTGATTTTACCAAATAAACTTTTTTGTAAACTTTTTTGTAATATTTAGATATCAAAAATACATGATCCATTATTTAATGTCTACAAAACAGTAATTTCAATAACCACCAGGTAAAATACACATATTAAGAGAGAAAGATTAGAAGGGTAGATTTACTGTAGGAAATGAATATTAGTTGTTTTAGATTTTAATTAAAAATGTACACATTTGATTATATTATATATAAAAGTATTAATATAAATATATTGAATAAAAAAAGAATGTTGTTAATAACATTTGGAAACATTAATATATTTAGTATTTTTTTCCAGCTATCAACATTTCTCTTTAGTTACATGATTCCATATTAATATTCCATATTAAGTGGATTTAAAAAAAATAGTATAAAAGACTAAATGAAGCTACCATTTCACCAATGTCTAATGGACCACAAATGCCACCTCCGTAGTACACTGCAGTTTGCTCACCACTAACATGGGTTTTAATGCACATTCTGGATAGTTGCAACTGTAGCATTTGCTGGTTATCTAATTGCACAACACTACAAATGGAGTTCTGTACCAGACAGACACTCCTCTCCAGATCGTCACGCTTGGACCTCTGTATGTATTGTTTTGTTTTTCACAAAACCTAGCGTTGTTTTTGCTCTGCAATTGCTTGTGTTAATTGGGATGGTATGTGAGGGCAGTAGGCTCAGACAAGATGCAGATTTTCTCTGGACCACATTCACCAGAATGCCGTGTGGAATGAGCTGCTGCCCTCAGTCACCTAGCCGGTTGGTGAAAGACAACTGGACAGGTGTCAGTTTAAAAATAAGGAAGCTCAGGTTTCCAACTGTCAATCCAATGTTTGGGAACAGAGGGCAGATCCTCTGCAGTGCACATTCATCAGATGGAAGGAAGAAGGAAGCCACCAACCTGGGCTCAAAGGTGCTATGTAACGTGTAATCCTGAATCATTCTGAAGCGCTTTAGAGAAGAGGGAGACTAAAGATTTGAAAAGTCAGAATGAGACTGAGAGAAGAGATATACTGTTTTGAGAGGCTGGTTAACAGCTTAGCTGCCCTGTTATTACTCTCAGGCTCATGGAAAAAGTTGAGTAATAACCTCAAAAAAGAGCTTAGGATTGTGTTCAGCATGATTTGAACATTTTCCTGCACACTGTAAATAAAAGAGCTTTTTTTTTTTACCTTACGGCTGCTTTGTGTGCTCAGTCTTTCCCTGAATGGCCTATAAATGTTATTTTCTGACACCCGGCAAAAAATCCTCACAGAGGGTCTACATTGCAAAAGAAGACCTGGCTCCATTGCTGGTGAGTCAACCTACAGTAAGATGGCATACAGTAGTCTCGCCTCTAACATACTCATTGCACAAAGGCATTATTCTATTGATGCACATTGGTTAGTTGTTGTATTTTTGCTTCTTATCACCAGTCTTGATGTTAAACAGGCTAAATCACCTTCTCACCTAAACCAAATCGACTCTCTCACTAATGAGATAATGTAATGCTAAAGCAACAGTGTATCACAGTCAGTCATGAATGATCAATTCATCAAAATAACATCAAAACAATTGACCAATATTGAAAACATGTATATATTATTTGTGCATTGATTTACAAAGAAATATCAAGCGATATCTTTCTAGTGATAATCATATATGTAATCATACAGTATATAGTACAGTATACTGTATATGATCACCAATGGGTCAGAGACAAAACTTCATTAGCACTACAACATTATCCATATTGAGTAGAGGACAGATTTACTACTCAAGAAAGCCAGGCCTAGAAAATATTAAAGAGATTTGATTATAGACACACTTGTCAGACTCGACAATATTTCCCTGTTGCATGACATGCCTGCCCCGTGTGTATAATTGCTTTCTATTGCCCCTCAGTGCAGTAAGCCTTTCTGGTGCCCTTGAAATTTCTGAAAAGAGTTTCAAAGTTCTGAGTAATCCAGCCTTTTAAAACCGAGGCCAGAGACGAGTCAAAAACTAAGGCCAATCTTGAAGTTGTAAGGTACAGTTGAAAGTGGTTTTAACTGCTGAAATCTAGCCCCATAAAACAGAAATGAGGTTATCAAATTTAACACTATTTCTATCCAATACCTGAACTAGCAAGTGGAAGTTATATGTACCGATACATTTCTAGTGATACCGAACAGCTTTAACAAACTATTTTGAGAAACATCATTCCAAGTGTTTGTTCTCACAGTCGTGCTGCTCCGCCGAGGCCCAGGCCGACCAGGCTGCCACTCGGCTCTTCACATCCACCTGCGTGACCGTAGCTGGGGGCACAGGCGCCGGCGCCGAGGGGGGGGGAGGGATATCAGCATCAGCCTTTAAAATCATCCTGGGAATAAAAAATAAATAAAGCAATGTGCAACCGAGGCAGAGGGTTATTTGAGTACCGCTTGAGGGAAAATCTGAAACTGAACACTTTTTTTAAAAAAGGAAAACGCCACAAAAAGATCTCTACTCTTCCTTGAAATATGTTTAGGAAAAGTGGCTCTTCATATGATCCTCAGAAAACACTTGAAATGCATGATAACATTAAGGGATATAATTCATCATATCCTTTCTTAAAGGTAGTGCCTACTTCTCTCATCTACTTTTTTTTTTTACAATAAGACAGATGATATTATGAACTCATCCTTGATTTTAAACAGCCAAATTCCACAAACAAACAATCAAAGCACATTCGTTCCATCAATAAAAAACAAATTGTCTGGCTGACAGTACCGTCTTTGCTGCCGTGCCAGGGTAAAATCTACTGGGAGATCCCTTCTGTACAACAGAGATGCCTCTTGCCAGCAGGGTTCCAATGTTACACTAGCAGTTGTTCTCCTATACAAACATATCCTTGTGTCTTTCAAATATTAGAATCAAAGGGCAAACAAAAATTGAAACAAGTGTGTAGGCAGTCACTGACAGGCCAACAGAAAGGGGAATATGATTAGATATTGAAAACTGATTTTAAAAAGGGCTGGTTAAGTCAAAAGCAAGAACCTGTGGTACAGTATACCTCAGAGTGTCTGGACGCTTCTTCTGTTTCCCTCCCTTGCTATCACTGATGGCACTTTCGATATCAGCTTGGATCAGGTTCGCCTTGAAGAAAACAAGTAGTGCTTCTTTAGCAAAAAGATAACAATGCTTAGCAGCAAGAAAAGGCTTTGTAGCCCTTAAAGTGTGAATATTTCATACATTTGGCAATAACGTTTTAAGTTTCTTAGGCTTTTGTCTGACTACCAGCAACCTAATGAGATATGATGTCAGGTCTTATGCCATCAGGTACATAAGGCTCAGTTACATAAAAAAGAAAAAATAATTACATGAAAATTAACTTAAATAAAACTGAAACTGATATGTATTATTTTAAAAAAACAACAAAAGAAAAAAAATTAAGTTCCCTCAAGGCATCTAAAAAAATATCTCATTATTCAGTTCCCACACGTCCTGTATTTGACATACTGTATATATGACTGACTTAACCACAGCCCTACGCTGCCACCCTAACCTTCCTTAAACTCTTTCTTTTTTTACTTGAAAGATATATTTGGCTTTTTTTCAGTCAGAAAACAATTAATCATAAAGCTACCAAAAACCCCCAGTAAATATAGCTATGATTCTGGGATGTCATTTATTAGATTTGAAATAAGGTTTTCAGCATACATACAGCATTTCAACTCATAAACCTTGTTTTAAACATTGTGTAACATTAAAAGTTATAGTTGTGTCCAAATGTTTAGGCATCCCTGGTTAAACTAGAGAAGGTAACACAACCTCTACATGGTACAAAGTTAGACCCAATATCTTTTATGCAACTTTTAATGCAAATTTTCAATTTATTTTAAAACAGTTGATTCATTACCACTTTTTTAATTTGTGTTTTTCAAAAGCCCCAAAACTTGATTGACGCGTTAGGCCTTTAATTAATCAACCAAAGTTAAACAACAAATCCCCTGACCCTCCTACCCTTCTCAGGTTGTGATTGTTTTCTGCCTACTTCCAACAACCATGAGCCTTCCTAAGTAGCTGTTTGATGACTTCAAAATAAAGATAATTTACTCTTACAGACCAGGGGAAGGCTTTAAAAAGGTCTCTAAACTTTTCCAGCGTCAATTTAATGTGTCAGAAACATCAATAAGAAATAGAAGTCAAAGGGAACCGTTGAAGTCAAGGGAAGATCTTTTAGACCCAGAATAATCTGAGAACTGCTAGAAAACTGGTGGGCTCCACAAAGCAGAACCCACAGATCACTGCAAAGGACCCGCAGAACAAAGCTCTGTGTACTGATGAAGTAAAAATCAAACTTTTGGCCACAACCACAGAAGATACTGTACATTTAGAGAAAAATGGATGAAGAATTTTAAGAAAAGAACACTCTGTCAAACGCTAAGCAAGGAGTTGGGGGGGGGGATCTGTTATGCTTTGGGGTTGTGTGGCAGCCTCTTGCACAGCATATACTGTGAACCTAGACCTAAGAAATATTTGATGTGTCATATTTACTGTTTTAGTATTTTGAATATCTTCGGAACTGTAAATAAATAATAATTTGTGCATTACAATTTGCAGAAAGATGTGATCCTGATACCATATAGAGGTTGTGCCAACTTCTTTTCACTTAATTCACTGAGACATTTCCTTTTACCAAACGTGTGGGGTGCCTACACTTTTGCACACAACTGTACAGTATGTGTGTAACATTTTGTGTTGTTTAGCTTTGTTTTATTGTTAATAAATATTTGTTGGTCCTTGAATGTCTCCACAATTTGTTATTCTTTTGCCAGAGCTGTCCCAGAGAATAATTAACTAATGTTCCTAAAATTACACCTACCATTCGGGTGTATTTTTGACATCTGAGGTGACTATTTGAACTATTTCATTTTCTGCTCTGTTTTCTATTTTCTTGAGAACCTCACCCTTCACAATTTGCTACAATAGGACATTAGTCGAAACCACACATACAGCAATTAATGAAAGTCAAAAGGGATCTACAGCTGCAGACAGAAGTAATAGCACCATCCATCTTTAACAGAGTAATTCACTAATTCATTAAGTGTAATAAATATTGTTTTTTAAGCTGTGTATATCTATATATTTTAATCTATACTTTGAAATCTATTTTCATTGAACGTTCAAGCATTCTAGCAAGTGACATCTAGGTTTTCTAGTAAATTAATTTAAAAGACAGGGTGCTGGTACGTACTCTATCAATGCAAATCTACAGCAATCAGCAGAACCCATGATGAAATACCCCTGTCAAGTATTGATTAACATTTTATTACCCTTAATAAACTAGTGTGAACCACATTACTGGAGGAGGGAGACAGTACTTATAGAGCAGAGATCCAAAAAGGGGTTATCGTTGGCCAGTTACGAAGAAGGCAGGTTTGTAACAACGTTGTCCTCAAGACAAGCATTCTGTAAATGCTATTAACACTAGTAATACTGTAAATAATAAATAACAGTAATAATAAGTAATAAATAGTAAATAATAAATAAGAGTAAACACTGTATTTACAGTTAAACACAAAACAGGCTCCTTGATTAATTTTCAATGACATGTTAAGAAACTATAAAAATGTATCCAGTGCCCTTATAAACAGTCAATATTTGTGAATTTCCAGGATTAGTTTTGCAGAGACCAAAGACAACATTCTACATATTTAAAAAATCTGTGAGAGAATAAAATATAATAAAAGAGCATTCCACTGAAAAATTATGTGGATCTACTGACTGTTTTCAGCTCATTACTGTGTATTCCATATCAAACCAATATAATCTTAGGATACAGACCTATAACTTGAGCTTTTCTCTTTTTTTAATTTATTAAAATGTAAATTACTGTTGCTTTCATAATGCTTTTTAAGCAATAAAAAATATTTTATCTTAATGTGCTAGGACCTGAACAAATTGAGCAATACTATTTGATGTGATTCACCAATAATTTCATATTGTAATAATATATTTATATACAGTGTGTTCAAAACTGAATACATTTGTGACACGTCTACATGACAGTACATCACAATAATAGCACATGTCAAACCCTAATATTAGTATCACATGTACCATCTATTAAATGTAAATTACTGTCAACAACCTGTTAACATTAATATTTGTTAGCACATTGATGTAGATGAAGAGGTTCCAGGAAACAAACTAGCTTGTTCATTTCACACAGCCTGCATTCATGAGAAAGGTAACTTCGACCCTAATGGAAATGAATAGATTAAAACAACAGAAGACTTAATTCAATAAAGTGAAAAGAAAATAAAGTCTAATAAAGATTAAAGTGTTCTTCAACAAACATTTCCAATTGAAAACAAAACAAACAAGCAGAAAATTCTTCATTAGCACAAAGAAGTCTGAGAACATCCTTATGAGACCCACCTTGACATCGTCGCATTGAAAGAGATGTAGGTCTGGTTTTCCTTGTCCTGTTTCTTTACAAACCAAAGCTAAGATTGAATCGTAGCTGCATGCATTCATCACTGCCTGGCAATGCTGAATAGTGCTCAGAGGAAAATTTTCCAATTCATTCTGAAATCAACAGGAAAATATTGACAGCACAACTCACTCTCAAAGGCTCTCCAGTTACTGGCATTTGAGCTTCATGCTAACATGTGAGTGCTCTCACAAATCAGGCCATTTAATTCTCAATAGCCATCCATCCATTTTTGTACCACTTTATCCATTACAGGGTCACAAGGGGAGCAAGATGGGATATACCTTGGATGGAACCCCAGTCCATCACAGGGCAGACACACAGATACAAATATGCAAACACTCATATCAGGGCCAATTTTCTCAGAAGCTGATTAACCTCACAGTAAGAAAACTAGAGCCCCCGGAGTGCTAACTCCTGCAGCACTGTGCCACCCATTCTAAATATAACTGTATAAAATGCTTTTTGAAAATAATGAAAGGAAACAAAATAACAGAATCTAATCGATAGTGGTCACAGATCTCACATACCCTGAGCACAGCCTCCATATATGTAAGTATATGTAAATGTATATGTAAAGTTTTCCACATAAACGTCCATTAGATCATATCTGGAGCAGGCATAATAGTGGAGGCATTGATCTAATTAATCTAATTTTAATGCATTTCACTTGGTATCTCAATTGCACTGTTCAAATTAGAAAAAATACACATTTTGTCATTTCAATATTGCCACATTATTTATTAAATAATTAGATGTTCAGTCCTTACAAAAATAATACTCATACTTGACTACAAAGGCATTTCTCAATGTTATAATAGTGTGCTACTGAAAACAAGTGATAGCTAGTCACGATTACGTCGTATTTAAGTTTCATTTCTGCTTGTGCTAAATCTCGAAAGTTTAAGATCTGACAACAAAAGAAGTTCAAATCTGTATTCTTACTTTGGTTTCCCCATCTATCAGACTGACTGTTTTATCATCCACTTGCAGAAGCATGTCCTGGGTCCAAACCTTGCCTTTGGCATCTAGAAGTTTGAGTTTCCGGATGCCATCCTCAATGGTTATCATAGCTTCCTTGCGGTCCATGACAAATGTTGTTAAGTGCTAGATGCAGTGAAAAAACAAGCAAACATGAGAAAACCTCTGTTTTTGTGCCCTCCATAAGATCTTTCCACAAGAAGTTTAATAAGAATAAACGGCCAAAATCACAAAACATAAGCCACTTTTTTTAGACTTCTTTTGAACATTGTTGAAAAATGCTTAGGGGGAGAGGATAAATAATTTTATCTACCATTAAAATCTGAAGGCAAATATTAATTAAAAAGCTTGTAAAATGAACTAAAAGATCCAGACAAAGATGGTGGTATTAAGCAGCAGTTATATAATTTTGGTCACAAATGGTGAAACACCAGATCGCTAATTGACTCATTTTATTGTCCAGCCATGTAGAGATTCTCAGCTCAATTATGTTTGGAATTATCATGAAGAAAGCTATAGAAATCAAGATAATCATGTTTTGGAATATAAGATTTCTATAGTATTATAAATCCTGATAATATCTGTTGTGGCCCTGATAATATGCACTGAGAGATGCAGAAATGGCAAAGAAGTAAAGAACAGAAAGTCAGACCACTGTATACAGTACATGTAGTATCAATCCACAACTATTGTACACATCCTTACCTCCACATGGTACTGCGATGTATCAGTCATGCTGTTAATACTGTTTTTCGCATAATTCTTCCTTTGCTCTGTGCAAAAGAGTCACATAATTGACAAGTTTAGAAGAAAGTAAAAAATCTCAATTTCCTAACTTTAATTTCTGACTCTTTATCAAGAACATTTCCAAATAAGAGCAATGGAGACAAATATTGGAAATTATATTTTATGTTTCTGTTTTAATCAAGTTTGTACTGAACAGTAAAAAGACAAATGAAATAATACTCTTTTTCTTTTGCATATTTGACTGACAGGGCTTCAGCCAGAAAAGGCTACAGAAGCAGGAAATCCATCGTTTTTTAAGATACTGAAACTGAGAATTCTGGTGAATCCCACCTTGAGAACCTTCAGTACATAGTTGAGGAATGAACTGTAATTTGTTGTGCACAAAAGTACACATACAGTATTAATACAAAAATACAACTTTCACACAGGTGGAGTATCTTTGTCAAGGTAATATTTTCAGCAGTATTATTACTATAAGAACAAGAATATGACGCCCTGAGTGAGGTCTTTTCCCAATCTTACAATAATGTTAAACCTTTTCAGACCTCATTAGAACTTTTAGTGGTTGGATCTTTAAACAGCAATGCAATAAACACAGAAAATCAGAAAAACAAACAACCTAGATTTTCACCTCACATGTCCATTATCACTTCAAGATAAGCCCATCAGAAATGAACAGAGCTTTTCCTGACCTTTTTTAATACAAGTGCTGTACAACACATTGTAGTACTAAACTAGAGAACTAAAAGAGCTTAAAAATAAATGAATAAACAATAATTCATTTATTTATTATTTGTTCAAAACGCAATCAGATGCTTTGCTTATGGTTTGTTTTTCACTAAACATTAAAACACATGTACTGTATCTAAAATAACACACATCAGATGAAAAAATAGGACTTGTACTCATTATCTATTATTAAGCACTATATTTAAGCACTATATTTAAGCAAAACAAAATGGGTCTACAGGGATGTAAGCAGGTTCTATAAAGATGATGCACCATATTGCACTACTGTTAAAAACTGTAACTCTAGAAAAAAAGTATCACAGTCCAAGGTACAGTGTAAACATGCATTAGACACATCATGTTGGGATACCAGAAAAGCACAGCAAACCATCACTTATTTAATATAAGATAGCCTAATATCTTATACGTAATGAAAACACTGTGTTTTGAAACCATTACCAATGTAACCAAGATTTAAGGGAGTCATGCTCAGTTGTTAAGAGAAGATAATAAGAAACAATGAGAATCCCTCAATAAAAATGTCAAGATGTTAAAGTCCTTATACACATCATCTTTAAAAGTACTGGAAAATTAAATAAGGATTGAAATATTTAGAAACAGCTTCAGTACTTTAACTTGGAAAGGATCACAGATTAAAAAAAATAAGCAGGGCTATCTACAAGAGAATATAAATATGTCAGTTCTGCAAAACCAAAAAATATTCTTTAAGTGTCTTTTTTTTATAAAATGTATTTTATTTTCATATAACCAGAGTAAGATAATGGATGTTCCCAATATGTAATATGCCTTTTTGCTTTGTTCTGTCCCTTGCCAATAATCACACAGACAGCTGTAAAAAATTATTAACATGATCAACAACTCGGCTTTCAGCATTTTTGGTTTTGCAAAGGTTTGGGGAATTACTCCCAACAGTACAATCACCAAACTAGCTATTGTTTGTTTGTGTCTACCTTTCTTTTTATGTTTGGAAGATGATCTGAGGAAGTACAATCCATCCATCCCTGTGCACAATAAAGGAGACAAAAACCTACTGTAGGTGGAACTGTAACTTCATTTAGGTAAAGGATTCCATTTTTCTATAATCATGATGAAATTCTAATACTGTAAAGGACTTGATTATGTTTTGATATGGATGTTTTTAAAATCCTGAACTTAAAACTTTTTTCAGTGTTCTTTATTGTACTATCTATTCCATGTAATTTCACATTAATACATGGTTTCATAGTATCTTGTATTTACTGTACTTTGTTACATGTATAATTTATGTAAAGTGCCTTGAGAATGCTCTGGATTGAAAGGTGCTATATAAGAATAAAACTGATTGATCACTTTCTTATTTTTTCCAACACAAATATGACTTTATTTTCTCCCTACATATCATGTCAAACCAATTTGCTTCAGAATATTCTGATCATCAGAGCATAAGAAAGGTTTCAAGAGAGGAGGCCATTTACCAATATACTCCAGTAGATTTGGTGTTAGCAGCTAATTGATCCAAAGATCTCATTCAGCTTTCATTGATAGAACAAAGTCTGTCAGTTCTGAAGCACTCTGACTTGACAATAATCTGTTCAGTGTCACGCCACATACCACTCAATTAGTTCTTCATATTTCTTATTTTCCTGCTGGAAAATAACATTTAGCAGCAGACAATGAAATCTTAAGGAAATGGACTCTATTGTGAAAACGCATAAAATAAAACCTGCAAAAACATTTATCCAATTTAAATGACAGACATTTCATTTACATTTCTAAAATACAGTGCCAGTGATAAATGTCTGAAAATGAGAAAATCTTATCTCAGGTAACCTTGCAGAGGTGGCAACTCTAATCAGATTGTGCAGCATAAACCTTACAATGAACATCAGTGAACTCTATGCAAATGTTCTACGGCCTTGTATTATAAAAATAACAAGATTATACTAATTGAGATCCTAAGAAGGTCAAAATAACATTGTATTAAATTCCAAAATAGTTTGCCAGACACCAAGTACCACATTTCCTCATATCACATACAATAGGTTGTTATTTGTGTCTCCCAATTTTCCCCACAAATTCAAGAATTTGCACTTCTACCCAATTACAATACTTAATATACACCTAACTTCACATTATCACATTACAATATTCAGAATTTCAATTTGTAATGTAGTGCTCAATCATTGACAAGAAACTGATCTTGGTTAAAAACATATACATTCCAAGTGTCAAATACCTGTAAATTACCACATGCTAATTAAATACAGTACGCTGGGTAATATCGATTATGATTCTGGCATACAAGCATAGGTATATAGTGGGGTTCTAGGTATCAAACAAGAACTGTTTTAGCATGTTAGGGTTGTATTCTAGTAAGTTCAAGAATACTTATTTGTTGCCAGCTCTTGTAGCTGATGTCTGCCTGTAAAATCAGAAGAGTATGTTGTTTTTTACAGAACTTTGTAATTGGATTACGTCAAAGTGAAATCACAGTACTGTATACAGTATGTAGTTGATACTTTTTGTCAATGTAAAATATAGAGGACCTACTGCATATGTACTGTACATTCTAACAGCAATACTCACTATTCTTGTAAAGTCAGGACGTTATAAAAACTTCCACAAAACCTTCCAAAGTCACAGATTAAATAAAAATAACAAAACAATGCCAAAGATTTCACAATTTTCTGTTGTGTAAGAAAGCATCCCTGATTCAAGCTATGTACCTACCATACAAGGCTTTTGCATTTGTTTTGGAGGAAGAGCTCTGGTCGATCCCTGGGTGCACTGGTGGCTCTGAACTGCATCCACTGTTAAAGAAAATAAGCATGTGAAGGGAGAGAATAATGGCACCAATGATACCTCTTATACCGATCACGTTAATCACAATTTGTATTGTTTCTGCAGGCACTTAAATTAACACGCATGTAGTTCATGTTCCATGTTTAGAGAGGTGGCTGAAATTTGACCTTTTTTATATTTCTTAGGTTCTTCCTCTTCTGCTACTCTCACATATCTTTCAAAAAATATCCAATTCATAATGGTTTCTTATGAGGTATTACAGAGAGACATCTTTCCCTTGAAATGTAGTAGTAAATACACAAAATTTGGAAAAATTAGACACTATAAAATATTTAATAATACTGACTGTGTTTACTTGAATTATCAATTATTATTTTTAATTATTTCCTAAAATATTTAAATCAGACAGTATTTCTAAATTGCACTGCTTACTGAGACAGTAGGTTCTCCACTCAGTGAAAATTCCTATAAAGAAATGAATTGGCTTTAATGCAACATGAGTTACTGTATGTGCAAGTTTCTCAGATTATTTCAGACAGGTATTGCATGTACTCACTTCAGCTGGGATGAGTAAGAGCCAAACCCTCCAGATGGGTAGCTTGGAGAAGAGTATCCATTCATTCTGAACTTCTGCAAAAGACTTCACCTGCAATATACACAAACATGGATCATTTCTTTTTAAAATAAGATTAAGTATTTCCAACATAGTGTTAATCTCATCCAATAACTATGTGACAGAAGTAGAGGGTAAACTGCACTGCAGTTACCACACTACATTAAAAGCCTAACAACTTTTTAACCCATACAAAATTACAGTTTTTACTGAGTTCTCATATTAGGGCTCAGAATACCTACATACTGTATAAATACCGAATACACGTAAGAAAAGTGTTAGAAAAAGAAATCACTGTATTGAGATACTTCAGATATTTTGATTGATATTAAGCAATATTGTGATTGATCTCTAGTACCTCTATGGTACAGGGAATAAATGTATTCTGCTCAGTATTCAGTACTCAGCTCACTACTACACAGACAAAAGTAAAGTAATTCAGTAAAAATATCAAAACAATGACAAAGAATTCCAAAGAATTCTGTTGAGCTAGAAAGCCTGACACCTACCACACAAGACAAAAAACATGACAAATGATTTGTATTGGAAAAAGTTACAAAGTACTATATAGGTCATTCAAATAATAAGAACACATAAAGGTTCTTAATGGTATGTAGATGCCAAGTGTATAAAGGACAAGGTAAAGACAGACTGGAACATTCCACATTATTGCATAATACTTTTGGCAGAATAGTAATTAAAGTGGAAGTAAACAAGAAGTATGGACAGAAAATATTTATTTGTCAAAAGAGTAGTGAGTAAGGGATTGTTAATAACCTGAAGATGAACTTTGGAACATGATTCACTGGGCTTTTCAAATAAAGTATATTATTATGCTTTTGGAACAACACAGAACTCCAGAAGGAAGTACTGTATAATGCAATACCAGGAACAAAAAAATAAAATCGAGGACATGTAAGGTATAATTACTTTGTGAACCTCATTGTTAGAAATTAAATACTTCAATCTTAAGTGGAAGTGGAATGAAGCACAGGTGGGTAAAATCGATTTTTTACCACTTTAAATATTTTAGTGACTAACAAAAATGAGAATTCAGATAAATCAGTCCATTCTTGAGAGCACAAGACAGTTTTTATTTCATATTTCCCTGCAAGGCACAAAGTGCTTACAGGAAGAAGGTAATGCATATCACACATCTGAGAAAATGTTTAATAACACAAGCACATATCACATCAAATTAATGTGTAGCGGCAAGGCTTATTAATAAGAAAGAATTAAGTGTTTCTGAGCTTTCCCAAATTAGGCCTCATCTCTCTGTTTATCTCTGTGGTGCAGCCACAGAGAAACTATTCATGCAGGCTGATTTAAGGTTCCTTTGATAAAGGAC